GTGGCGTCATGTTCGGTGTCAACACAGGCAGCGCTCCCGAAAAATACTAGTGCCGCGTTTTCTCTTATCCGTTCCCAACCCTCGCAATACATTGTCGCATCTCTCGCAGGACGTAAATATCTCCTCGCACCCAAGGACTTACTCACAGTCCCACATCTGAAAGATGTACGCGTTGGCGACGTGTTGGCGTTGCAGGATATACATGAAGTTGGCTCACGGGATTACACCCTTCGCGGTGATCCTGTAATATCCTCAAGTCGCGTCAAGGTTGATGCTACCGTCGTCGAGCATACCAAGGGTAAAATGGAGGTGGTGTTCAAGAAGAAGCGTAGAAAAGGTTACCAGAAGACGATCAAGAACAAGCATCCATACACTCGTCTGCGTATAGGCTCCATTGAGTTCTCTGATCCTTCGAATCCATAGCATTAGTCCGAGCATTATAATATTTTTGTTTTCTAATCAGCCAAACCATCACGCACGAGAAAACTGAAGTTAGTCAATATTAAAGCCAGTGGATAAGTATCATATCTCCCCTTCTTCAGGCGTTTCTGCCCTCCGGGATCGTTCTCCACGCTCCTCTCTAAAATCTACATCAGGATCGTAACGAGCACGCTTTTCAGCGCGTTCACTATGTGCCCTATCAGAGCCCCGCTTCCGTTCTCTACTCTGTTCTGTTTTTTCCCCTGCAACATCTTCCTCATCCCCGTATGGCGGTGCATCAGTCCGACTATAACCACGTTCCCTTGAACCTTTCCTACGCTTGCGCTCATCCCTTCCGTCCCGCTCGTCTCGGGTATGCCGTTTGTGCTCGCGATCCCTGTCCCTATCTCTGTCTCTTTCCCTGTCCTTCTCCCTATCACGTTCACGTTCACGGTCCTTTTCCCGCTCACGCTCGCCATGCCCATCCTTGTCACGGCCATGGTACCCATCGTGGTCCTCACGGTGGTGGTGTCTGGAGCTCCTGTCCCGCTCACGATCTCGCTCGCGGTCTCGCTCTCTGTCACGGTCATCGCGCCGGTCACGGTCACGATCCCGTTCACGTTCGCGCTCAGGCTCCTTACGACGTCTACTCGTCGTTGAAGCACCATCCTCCGACGGAGCCTCGCGTAGTCGTTCCTTTTGCCTCTTCACAAACTTGGCAAAGGCTGAACGTCGACTCTCATCATCGTCTAGGGCCTTGTACTCTGGGAGGTTCTCGATGAAGGGAACAGCCTGCATAAGGATTAAATTAATATCTGATGTCAAGGGAAGGCCACGAAAGACGCACAGCTTCATAGGACAATGTGATGTCAAGCGGCTCGGGAAGCTTCTTCATCGCGTAGCGAAGATCATCTTGTAGGTGCCTCTGCCTTCTCTCTGTGCGGCGCTTCTCTTCATTCTGCTTCTTCACGACTTGATCGTGGACCTACCAGACTCATAAGCACTCTCGTCATTTACACACAGAAAAGTAACACACCGTGTCGTACACCTCGCGCAAATCATCCTCCCCGAGCTTGCCTACGCTGTCAGGGTCCCTCCTTACGCGAGCCTTGAACTCTTCGAATGTCGTCTGTACGGCCACCACGCTCACGGATTCTTTATCCTTATCGTTCTTCACTACGTCCATGACATTGGGGTCATCGCCACGCCTGGCACACTCCTCAGCAATAGCGATCTTAGCATCGAGTCTCTGGTCAAGTGCGTCGACAGCATCCCAGAAAAGTTCCAAGGGATTCGATCCAGGCTTGCCGAGCATATTGAGGTATCGCTGATCAGAAGCAAAAGTTGGGTAAACATGACGCCATTTGCTGCGCGCCTTGATTTTTCCAGTAGCCACAAGATCCTGCAGCAATCCCCTGAACGCCTCTCTGGCTTTGCGCTCCTCACGTGTCTTCTCAACTTGTGCGCGGCGCATGTGCTCCTCAAACTCACGTTCTTTGACACGCGAGTAATCTTCGAATGCAAGGAGGATGTCTAGCGTAGGAAGCTTGCGCAGCTCAGAATCAGCTTGCCAGTCGGGGGACTCGGTAACCATTTCGTGGGCCTTGCGCCAACGTGTGAGGACATTCACATCGAGTTCTTTGAAAAGAGACACGACTTTGGAGATTGCGCGCGTACGCGCAGCACGGGTTTCTTGCTGTGGATGTGAGTCAGGTTGTATTCATGATCAGGAGAATAAACAAGAACGCACCACTTCGCGCTGCTTGAGCTCTGCGACGTACTCCTCAAATATGAGCTTTCGCTCAGCCTCGATACGAGCTAGTTGCCAGATGGGATGCTGCGAGAACAATTTATCCGCAGTAGCGAATGTAGTGTAATGAAACACATTCGGATTGCCCTTGAGCATGTTACGAATAGCTGGGCGGAGCTTTGAAAGCCGTGCTTCACGCTCTTCTTCTTCCTTCTGACGCAAACCGTCTGTGTACTGGACATACCACGACAATTAAGTAATACAATATACCGTGAACGAAGGAAACGCACCTTCTGCCAAGTTGCTTTCTTCTCAGCTAAAGAGTTCAAAGCCTTGTACAATGGATCCGTGATGATGGTACGCATAGTCTGGTCCCATGTCCAGTCCGCATCGACGCCCGCCTTGCGCAAGAGATGCATAAAAGCTTTCTCACCCTCCTCAAAGGTGGCAAAACCATTGTGAGGAATGGTAGGGTCATCCGGAAGGTTCGGCCGTGCGGGAAGAACGCCTGTGTTACTGAAGGGGAGCGAGGCAGAGCCTGCGGTGGCTACGGTGCCGTCAGGCTGCGCTGGGGCTGTCGCAGCATGAATTGGAGCAGACGAAGTGCTGTGATTAAACAGTAAGGAGAAAGGGCAAAGAAATAGGCTAAGGACATACGGAATGGAACCAGCGACGACAAGTTGGCTGTTTTGTTTCTCCTTCTCGACTTTTTCAAGGAGCAGGAGCAGCTCGTCTGGCATGTCCCATTTTGATTCTTTTGATTCGGTCTGTTCAAGTAGATTAGATACTGATGAGAAATATCTTCATCGTTGGACGCACATTGTAATAATACTTTCTGCCTCCGGAGAAGTATTCTTTCCATTTTGTCTCCCCGAGAGCTTTCTGGAGGGACAGGTTATTATGAGTACACGGTTAGAGGGGGAAAAATGTTAAATCACCTCAAATGGAGTCTTCAAGTCTAAACAATTCACAATTAGCGCAGGACAGGACAGACAAAACTTCGATGCGCACCGTCTGGCTTCTCCCAGACACTTTCACGAGTGCCAGTATTGAACCAGTATGTCCTTCCTTCTGGATTTCGATGTTCAGTCTATCCCACCTAGTCAGTATCCTTTCTACGAGAAGCGATGGCGACGAAACTTACCCACATACTTTGCAAAATGGCAAGCTATCGACCAAAGTAATATTTGATCTCATACCAAGTTCTTCAAAGTCCGACTCGCGTGATTAGTCATCACACAGGCGCTTAAAGTGGCTATTCCGCCACCTAGACCACACGTATTACCTAAGTGACCAACCATGGTGCGCCCATTTACTGAATCCCAACATAGCCCTCCCACCCATTCATATCCAGTCATCCCGTATCGAACTACTTAATGCTGGTCTTCTTCGCAGCGACGGTCGCAGACCGTATGAACTACGAACACTAGCCATCAACTTCGCACCACAAGGAACAGCAGATGGCAGCGTCACCTACTCACATGGCCTCACTCAAGTACGCGTCTCAGTCCTCGGTCCACACGAATCAAAATCAGGAACAAGACGCGAAACATTCCACGATCGTGCAACACTAAACGTCGAAGTCCAACTTGCTCCTTTTGGCGTCGGTGAACGAAGAAGAAGAGGCAGAGGCGACAAGTAAATATATCACCTATACCAACACTTTATTACATCGCTAATACCACTCAGGCGTCTCCTCGAACTCGCAGCATCAATCAAAAGCACATTCGAACCAGTCGTACAAACCCATCTCTATCCACGCAGCACAATCGATATCTTTATACATGTCCTCCAGCTCGATGGCGGCCTCCTCCCCGCTTGCATAAATGCCTCCACGCTCGCTCTAGCAGCCGCAGGCATCCCCCTCTTTGACTTTGTCTGCGCCATCGGCGGCGGCGTGCATGGCACCCAACCCTTACTTGATCTAACTACAGTCGAAGAAAATGATGTTCCGAGCGTCGTGGTAGGGGTGATGCCTCGTACAGGACGCGTGACGCTCGTCCAGATGGAGACCAGGTTGCATATGGATCGCTTTGAGGAGGTGTTTAAAGTTGCGTGTGATGCAGGTAAGGTATTATGGAGTGAGATGAGGGATGCTCTCAGGGAACGGACGGGGGATTTGGTGGATAAACTTGGGGCCGGACCCGGAATGGTTGTGGCGAAGGAGACTGAAGAGACGTAGGATTGATGCTAACTGTAGCTAGCGGCTTCGGTTATGTACGAAGGCTCGATTTGTAGCAACACCACTCTCTCTAATACCATCGATCATCATCATGACCAGCACTAGCGTTCAGTCTGAAATCAAGGTGGTGTGGATCCTCGACACCGACTTGTACAAGGCCTGTATCACAGTAGCCTGTTTTCGACAGCTCAAGTTCACGCGCGATCCTCATCTGTGAATTACAGCGTACCGCAAAGAACGTTAACGTTACAAATAACTATACGACGACTATCTGTAAGTAGGAGCTTGTGATTAGAGATACTTGATTTCAGATAACGAATGACAGGCCCACTAGTCCTGACACGGACAGCACAGCACGGAGCATTTGATCCCGCGGAACCAATTCGCGTCCACCCCCACGTGCGTGCTCCACCTGCACGATCTTTGTGTCTCTAGTTACAACACTACACGCAGAGATTTATCTTTCATGTCGTACGCTAGCTTGTAATTAAAGTACCACTATGGATTCAATACAGATGCAGGCAACAGTGCATCAATGGAAGCCCACAATCCCCTAGAATTGTACTATCACGGATAACGCGGATACTTCAATTCTTTATCTGCTGTAGGAAGACTACTTCGTTCCGCAAATTAACTCATGTGGTCACGAATTCGAAGTAATTCAGAATTTAGTACCAATTTCATTATTCATACGCCGCTTCATTATGGTCAGGCGAGCTCACAGAAGGCGGCTAGACCTTATTGGGTGTGCAGTATAAAGACCCTTCATGCGTGATCGTTTTCCCTAACGTTGAACCTGTCGCGATCATCTATCATGTCCAGGTAAGATGTGTCAAGTGTTTATTTATCTAGAAATGTTGCATGAAACGGAAGCTGAATTTTCCCATAGTTCCCAATTCCCAGCTCAATCTGCGTCTCCTCTCGGTAAACTCGGTGTCGAGGCTGCCCTCGAGGCTGCTGCAGACCCATCCATCACGCCAAAGCCCAAGATCTTCGATGAGTTCGCGCTAACCGACCGCGTTGGGCTTGTCTCCGGCGGAAATAGGGGCCTTGGCTTGGAGATGGCTCTTGCATGTTGCGAGGCTGGTGCACGTGTCGTATATTGCTTCGATCTCCCAGAAAAGCCATCAGATGAATGGATCGCAAGCAGAGATTACGTCGTCAAGCTAGGGAATAACTCGCGGCTGGAGTATTTCAGCGAGACCGTCACTGATCAGCAGGCGCTTTGGAAAAAGACAGAGGAAATTGGTGATAAAGAGGGAAGAATGGACTTTTGCATCGCTGCGGCTGGTATTCTCAGGTCACCCATAGACTGTCTGGAATACCCGGCAGAGGAGTACAGAGAGGTGGGTGATTATTGACTAGTTGCTTTCCACCGACAGTTTTTGAAATCAACCCCGATGTGAAGGTCCTGGATGTCAACGCCAGTGGTGTCCTCTTCACTGCGCAGGCTGCTGGCAGACAGATGTTGCGATTCGGACGCGGTGGCAGTATTATTCTTATCGCATCAATGTCAGGCAGTGTCACTAACAGGGTGCGCATCTCCCAAAAACTGCTATGGTCATGTTTGCATGCTGACCCTGTATAGGGCCACGCCTGGGTATCGTACAACACCTCCAAATCAGCTGTCCTGCAGATGGCTCGTAGCATGGCTTGCGAGCTTGGCGAAAAGAAGATTCGCGTCAACTCGTTGTCTCCAGGATATATGTACACCAGGTTTGTCTCGCGATTAATTGCATTGCAAGCTAAATCATGATGGCTGTGATAGTATGACTACAGCATATCTGGACAAACAACCGGGCCTTCTCGATGTGTGGTCTAATATGAACCCTCTGGGTCGACTTGGACGCCCTAACGAGTTGCGCGGTGTAGTGACGTGGTTGGCATCTGATGCATCGACATTCTGTACGGGTAGCGAGTGCGTCGACTTCCTTGTATTTCTTTGCTTAGCAGTGAAGCTAACTGTAAAATTCGCAGTATTGTCGTCAGCGGTGGTCTTCACTCCTGGTAATGGAGCACTCGAGGAAGAAGGGCGAGTCCGTCCAATCATGAGGTCCATCATGACCCGCCTCGCATGTGTACATTGTACTTAAATTGAAGAAAATGTGTTACATAGACCAAAATTTCAAAGCAGAAAGCCATATCCATGGGACGTTTACACTTGACCTACATGTTATACCACAATCACGATTCCTCTGCTACTGTATATTAGTCTTTCAGGATTTGGAGGTGATCTCCACAGACGAACCTAACCCAGTGAGGTGCACTAGTGTCTTCACAGACGCATCAGGGAATCGCGGGACAATGCAGCAGGGAAATATCTCCGGATTACTGAAATAACAAGACATTAGCAGACTACTCTTGGGAGCATGCAATTATGCACACATTGCGAAACCAGTGCTGAACTTTGGAGTAACTGGAATTTCCATGCCGCGTTCGTCGAGAGCTTTATGGGCCGAGAAAAACGCCAGGAAATTCACAATTGCTATCCAGATTGATGCCTCCGCCACATGCCGTCCCACACTGACCAATAACATTCAGCGGAGAGTGTAAGACTACGAATAGATGCCCACCATATACGGCGACCCCAGCCAAAGGCTAAAGCCATAGTGTCACTGGTGAGGGACCCGTCTTCATGGAGAAACCTTTCCGGTTTGAATTCATCAGGATTGGAGTATTTCTTTGGATCGCGCGTCATCGCCCTAAATTTTTGTCACTTGGAGATATAAGTAGGACTTTCCATGTATTTGGAAATACAGCAACTCCTAACATCAGGGTCGTCAGCCATCGTCGTTAAATCAGGACGGCACACACCTTTGGGGATGAAATAACCATTGTAGACGTCACTGGTTGTCGTTGCGTGTGGGACACCTGAGAATATCGTCAAAGGTCGTTTGGAAAGCAATTGTGTTGTGGACAGACCGAGTGGTGCCACGGGATACCACCTGAGAGTCTCACGCAAGATAGCTTCCACGTAAGGCAACGCTGGTCTATCATTGAAGTCTGGGAGTCTATATTTGCCAACGACTCGATCAATCTCCGCGTGCGCTTTAGTTTGCACCTCTGGGTTGAGTATCATAGCAAGAAGGAATACAAGCAATGTGGAAATAGTCTGAGTCAAGGGCAAACTGATTATAATGGGTAAACTAGAACCAGGAGAAACTTGCCGTTCCAGATGCCGCTGGAGACAAAAATAAGCATTGAGGGGAATAATACTTCACCTTGCCTACCTGTGAATGCAATAGAAGCAGTCTCCTTAATCGCAGTTTCAATGGAGGCATCCTCTTGAGAAAGGTGCATCCTGTTGAATGCATCAGCCACAAAGCACGGCCCCGTGTCGTTAGTAGACTGTCGATGGTTCGTCAGTTCGCAGTACTTCAACTAATGAAATATTTCACCATCCTCTCTTTGACATATTGAAAGGGTATCTCCTTCACATCATGACCTGCCCGTATACACTTGACTGACGCTCGTTTGAATGTAGCACCAGGAAACCAGCTAGGTAGCTGCAAAACTAGGAGGGTTGTTGGGTGACTTACATGCCATAGCATTAAAGTATGAGCGAACATACGGAAAGGAAATGTTTCCATCAACGTCATAGCAGTTGGCGCTAAAGCATCTTCTATCAATTCCGCATAGCTTGTGGTGGCGTGGACGATGTAGTCATCCTTGTATTTTGCTTCACAGTCATATATCATAAACAGCACAAATGATAAAGTATACCTGATAAACATTAGCTTCAATACCACACAAAGGACTGTTGCGACTGACATCCGAAAATGGCTTGCATAACTGCTGGGGTCCTGTAGAAGACTGAACAACAGTCTGTGTGCGGAACGGAGTTACATAGCGTGATAAGTTGGTGTTTCAACTTGACGAAACGCTTGATGCAAAATTCGCCGGTGAAGACGCCACCTGCTGATTACCAGACACCCATTAACAGAACATGTAATAACCCATTGTGCACCTGTCTCCATATGGCATGAACCCTACGTTAAAGTCTGAAGCGAAGCTGGCGATATCTTCGTGATCGATACGGGCTAATACTGCAAGGTGCAACTCACGCTTCGTAAGGGTTCTATCCGAATATATGCTGGAACGCTCTTCAAAGAGGTCTTTGGCGACCTCTTCAGAATTAACGACCAGGATAGGCTTGTTGGGCAGACGAGCATAAATTATGTCACCTGGAGAACAAGATGAGCTATTATGAACAAACCCCCACTATGATGTACCAAACCGTATGTAGATCTCCAGGCATTGAAGGTCAGCCAAGGTCGAGCAGTATCAAGACTGAGAACGTTTCCCAATACTGGAAGAGGTGTAGGACCAGGCGGTACCAGCTGAGGTCGCGAACGATTGACCCGGTATTTTCGCCAGCAGCTTAACAATACTATTGCCATGGCTGATATGGCCAAGTAATGTGAAAGCACATCGTCCAGCATCGTTATAGTAGTTTTGCTGCCCATCGAGATGCATTGAAGTCTAGGTCTATTAAATATATAACATATTGAGCTAGATTTACAGAGTCAAACAAACGATCTGATGCAGGATGTCAAAAATTCGAACTCACCATGCCAATCATGTACAAAGCACTGGCGATGAGAAAATGACATGTGGACGGCTCGCGGAATATGGAACATGAAATGGATACCAGAAAGGCATCCTCAGGATCTGTGCTGCTGGAGATATGTGATGGTGGTGCTCATAGTGTTGAGAAAAACCGGCATATACTCATGGATTGACGAAAGTGCTTCCACTCACGAAGAGTCTAACTTGACAGACTTGGGAATCCTCAGAGAAGACAAAGGAGTAACTGTACTGTGTCCTCCTGCCAAGCTTTGACCAGTCATCAGGGCTTGACTCGTGAGCGACCGCCTTCCTTCGTCTGAGGATTTCCCGAGGACGACTATGTTGTCATCGTAGACGATTTCTAGCGAGGTTAGCCAATAAGGCACCACATTCAAGAACTATTTCCCGGGCCCCGGAGCTTGCTTCCAGCTGAGAACAAGCTGGGGAGCGCTCCAGTTTTTAACAGCGTCTGTAAGTGCAGGTACTACATTGATGAGTATAGTCTTGCTCTGGGTGCTATATACCGACAGGAGGGTGCGTTGTGGTAGATATCGCACTGGGCGAAGTTGAGCCAGAGGAACATCCTGACCCAGGATGACACATAACCGTCATTATTTTGGAAGAACTGTTCCATCCACATTCTTTCGAGACTAAGGGGATTGAAATATACTAGATGAGGCTGGCAGTAAGAGGACAACGTTCTAAATCAAGCGAAGTACATCGGCCGAGACAATGGTGTCAGATTTATTTTTTGACTTGCCTTGAAACACTTATTACTAAGGAGCGATACTTTTGGGATAGTTCAGCGACACACGTGCACACTCATGCTAGTAGTATCCATTTAGGTTTCACATCACATGCAACATAATGCATAACCAGTCAGGCTGCCTCAAGGTGGTAACCTCGCTCTAACTGAGGAGTATTTAGACGACCACATGATGTGCCCATGCAAGGCATTATCATCCCTACCCACTGTATTTGTACCTGACAAACAAAAATAAGTTCTGCCGTGTGATGAACTAGCTTGCATAGAAACTGACCAGTTCGTTCTATTTGATTCATGATGAATAGGTGAATGACCGAAAATATTATTATGCCATACCTTGCAACAACTGCCTCTTTCCTCACCGCACGCTTAGGGTCGTCCAAAACCTTTGCTAATTCCTTCAATACACGCGTCTTGTAAGGATGCAGTAAATCATATCGCACGGTGCCTGGCAGCAATGCCAGGTATTTGAGCGCCGCTACGCGTACTCCCTTTGGCCATTCAGTATTCCGAGTAAAATCAATGAACACGTGAACGACGCACAGGATCAGGCATTTCCGAACACATGCAATTTTTAAGCATGGCAAGCACGAGAGTCGACGCATACATCGAGACAGCGTCCTTATCAGCGGATGTAACATCGATATTGTTAGACAACGTGTTAATAATGTGTGAACGAATGGATGGGTCAACGAGGTCGAGTCCGCGTAGTAAAATAGGCATCAGCTAAGGGAACACCGTCAGCAAACCAACCAATATGCTCCAGTCAACCAAAATGACGACTAACTGAGGGCATCTGACTAGCGTAGATTGCCTTCGGTACAGCATTGATGAGGTACGCCAAAGCAACCAAATATGATGTCTCTCTTCGTGATCCTTGCGAATAGGAAGTGTGTTAGATTATATGGAGTATGAACACCTTACACACCCTTGGCTCCTTCTAACAACCGCGGCATCACTACATTGAAGTACTTCTGCACGTGTAGAATCTAAAAATACGCAGTTTTTTTAGGGGGATTCTGCTAGGTTTCCTTTGCATACCTTAAGAACAGCATCATTGCGTTTCGTCAATATGACATCCTCGCCTGCAAGCAAACCGATCGCTCGCGCCGCATCCCAGTCGACTGTGTTGTCATCCAAAAGCTCGAACAAGTGATTAATGAATGCATTTGCAGAGGGATGAGAGCGAACAAGGAGCGCCCTTGTGATCTGGAGAGAAAAATCAGCGCAAATAAGGTACGAGCTAGAAGGCGAGCACAGATATCCAGGTACTGATTGCGTTCTTGCGTGCTTCTGCCGGGATACTTGTGTTTTTGAGGGCTGATGACGAGTAACCCTCCAGCTGGGATGTCAGAAAGTCAGATACATCTGAAGAGAAGTGATCAGCCTGATTACAATGAAAATATGTGATGAATCACCATCAACATGCTTATTAACATTGGATGCAAGAACGTGAGATGCAGCTTCTCGTTGTAATATTGTACTGGATGGGCTATCACTCCACGCGACCAGTTCGGAGAGGAAAGTGGATAGATTGTCGACAGGCATCCGAACCTTGAAGCGGCATTGACAAAAGCACCGAAATTCAGGTTCAAAAGCGGCATACCTCCTTGCGTAATGAGACGATGGTAGAAGAGAACAGAGTGAAACTGTTCCGTTGTCGGGGACTGGCATTAAGCTAGGATCGGAGTCAATGTAACGTACATAAGGGGAATGTGAGTGTTGCACTCACATGGAGAGGTGCGAATGGTGTGGCTGAGTTTAAGAGACCACCAGTAATCAGCTTCACGTCACCTTGCGTGTAGGCGGCAAACACAGCGGCAACAAGCTTTTCTTGCCCCCTGCCACCTTTATCAATGGTGTTCACTCAGAGATAAGACAAAGACTCACGCAACAGTCAAGGTCTGACTCACAAGCCTGATAATCCTCGCCCCAACTTGCAGCAGCCTTGGATCTGCAGCGATAGCCACCACCTCCGAGCTCGCTAGCGCAGCATCCAAGTACAATCTGAACATGTGCGGCAGTAGCTGCTCAGGCGTACTTGGGGACATCTACGTCTTTCGAAGAGACTTTGACGTCGAGTGTATTTGCGAGTGCCGTGAGGATAGCATGGGCATACGCAGCTGTACTTTCCTGGTCAATTGTCCTAGATGGCAAGATTTCACAGAGGAGATCAAGTTTGGCGATGAGCCTGACAACTAATATCTCAAAAAGTTGTGGTTGTACACAAAGGGCACTGAGGGACGAAAGGGCGCGCCAGTAAGATGCGCGCTGCGTGATGGCATCCCTTGATGGAGCAACATCTGGGAGGAAGGAAAAAAGGATCGGGAGCGTCTGCGATGACAGATGGTGCGGCGCAATACCAGCGATGGTAGAGAGAAGTGCGAGGGTGTCCATACTGAAACCACGAACCTCAGCAACTCATCATAGATGGAGAGAAAAACGTTCGTACGTCACGTCTTCTACTTCATCAGGCTCCTTGCGTAGTAGTTCGCTGACCTCGAGCACTATGTACCCAAGCTCATCATCAGCTACTAATTTAGGAGTGCGCACAAGTGCATTTAGACCATGCAGTGCTGGCAGGCATGTCGCAGGTCCTTTTAAGCTGACAATGAGGAGCCCAAGGAGGGCATCCTTTGAGGCAGCGAGTGGAGATAATGTTGACTGAGAAGACTGAGAAACGGAGGCATGCGTAACATCACCCCGGCAGGCTTCAATCAACTCTGTGAGTAATATAACCACTGACGCCCGGTTTGATACCTCGTCTGGGTCATGGAAATTTCTGATGAGAAGCTCAGCAGCTTGCGAGACTGCAAAACCGGAAAGTGGTCCTGGTGAATGAAGACGGTTGAGTTCCAGCCTGTATCATTGTACAACGCTTACCATTAGCTCGGGCAAAGGCACATATGACCTTCATTGCAGCTCTTGCTTGGGATTTCTCAGGCTCCTTCAACGTCTGCATGCATTCGCTACACATGTCTCGTGCGAGGCCTGTGATGGAGTCCTCGCCTACTGCGTCTTGGGATTTATCAGCATGCATGGTCCTAAGAAGGACCTGCAGTGTATTGAGGGCTGAATGTTCGGTATCGGGATCAGTTGGTTGAAAAATCTGATTCCACATAATGTTATACTCAAGATTCCAGGGAATAAAATCTTACTTCGATTTTCAGAGAGCTCCAAATTTTCTTCCCCAACTCGCGCGTCACAGCAGGTCCGTAGACCGGAAGACAGATATCCATTGCATGTAGAGTATCTCGCTGCCGATGGATTATTAGATTAATATTTAAACATCACAAGTGCAGCAGTGACCTTGGTTGAGGGTGATCCAGCAGTAAGCTTTTCCAGAAAGACTGGAATTCCAAGGAGCCCGAAGGCTGGAGTTGCGCACAGACAGAGTCTGCAGCAGCATTAGCAAATAGAAGACACAGTGTGTAAGACCTTGTTGCACCGAAGAGACTGCTTCAGATCATCTGCACTGATGCCATAAGGATCATCGGGTGGTGGTCGGAATGTGATGGGAAAGTAGCAGAATGTTATGTCAAAGAAATCCTATGTACGACGGTTGAACATGGAGCAGACGGCATAAAAGCGAACCCTACCTCAGTATGAGCAAGAGTGTCGAATTCTGCCAGCACAACTCGAGCAATGGCAAATGCCAACATGAGATTTCGAGGGTCTTTCTCTCCGACTGCAAGGTTCACATATCCCGCAAGGAAAGCACTTCCCATTTCCTTGAGGGTGTCTCGATGGCTAGCAATCAGAGAATCGACGATCGAAAAGACGAAGAAGCGAGTGGACTGCACAAGAGCTCTCATTTTGACATTGGCGAATATACTAAGCGATATTAAAAGTAATGGAAATGCACAACAATTCAAGTACGTACGCATTGAGAATATCCTTCACTTCGGCCGACTGTATGTTAGGAAACTTGACAAGGTAAGAGAGACCGTTGAGTGCAGGGATGATGGTCTCAAGATCTTCAAGCTTGCTGCAATAAAACGTGGTGAGCACACGAACTAGTAAAGGCGGTGAGTAGAATTAATTCATCCTTGAGGTGACTTGTACTTACTAGCCTGGCGATTAAACTTTTCGTGTGGACATCGTCCAAGAACAGATGAGAGAAACTCGACGCCTGCAATGACTGAGAACAAGAACACCGATAAGTGAGTGACATGTTCACCTTTCGTCCGCAAGCGGTCCTCCTCAGATGTTAAGAATTCACCAAGAGCCTTTATAATATCCAACAAAGTTAATTGACCACTTGATATTCCTGAAGAATTCATTTAAATTTTGATATCGCCTTGCAACGAAAAGTGTACCAGCAACGCTCTCATCGACCTCGGAGTCCTTCTCTGATGCCATCCAGGAGCGAACCAAACGCTCCGCTGTAGTCATTTTCGCCGAACTGTGGTACCAGCCGATACCGGAAGGCAGTGGCAGTTGAAGGAGATTAGAATCATTACTAGATAAGTGGAAGCTCAACAAATCAACATCAGCGCATATTGTCGCACGGAAATTCTGTCTGTTTCGGTTGAAGCTTTAAGGTTGTATGCATATAGCGCCAGCTGTACTTTCACCAAGTTTAACTAGCAAATGCTTCGCAGCATACTTTCATGTAATCATCGATACTGTCCACGACAAACTCACCTCAAGGCCTACTTCTCTTCGACGCCGCTGACAGCGAACGATAAGCCGCCTTCGAAACACAATGACAAAATTAACTATAACCCGGATATCTCTTTCTCTACCACTGTCGACCCGAAACATCTCAAGTACCCAATGCTTTCGTCGCATGACCTCGAGTCTCATCGTAAACCCCCAACCAGAGTACGGATGCTAGTCCGAGATTTCATAGAGGATTCATTGTACAATCCGCACTACGGCTATTTCAGCAAGCGCGCCACGATTTTCACTGCACCTCCACATTGCGGTGGCGTTGAGGGAGGCTTTGATTTTAATAAGTATAGAGACAGTGCCGAGTTTGAAGTCGACGTTGCAAAGAGGTACGGGGAATTTGGCAATGGAGAAGAGGACGGTCCTGGGAGGCAACTCTGGCACACTCCGACAGAAGTTGTTCAAGGTGGGCAACTCTGTTTTTGGTGTTATTGGCACATACAGCTAAAATGTCCTACAGCCATGGTACTGGGCAGGCGATAGCTCAGTGCCTAGGTGTCCGAGTACTTGCTCAAATACTTCCCTTACGAAGACTTCAAGGTCTACGAGCTGGGAGCCGGAAATGGCACGCTGGCGCTGAATATCCTGGATTTTCTAAAGACGCACTACCCAGATGTATATGACCGCACACAGTATACGATCATTGAGATTAGCGAGAAGTTAGCACGGGCACAACGGCACCGTCTACATCAACAGGGCCATGGCCAGGTCGTGGACGTGGTGAACCAGAGCGTTTTCCAGTGGCAACGCAAGGAACACGCTCCATGTTATGTGGTAGCAGCGGAGGTGGTCGACAATTTTGCACACGATGTGGTGCGGTATGATCTAAAGACCCTGGAGGCATATCAGGGAGTTGTAGCTGTGGACGAAGTGGGCGATTTCGTACCGTTCTACACGAAGATCAATGATCCGCTCATCGCTTCTTATCTCGCGCTGCGTCGGCGGCTGTCACTTCCAGTCCCGCTACCCCGATTCCTTCGTTCGCCAACTTTGCGGAAATTGTACGCATCTTTGCCATTCGCACCAAACCTTTCACCCCCAGATTACATCCCGACGAGACTGTTGAGCCTACTAAAGATACTGCGCACGAACTTTCCTCGCCACCGGCTTTTATTATCAGATTTTTCATCGCTACCGGATGCGGTGCCAGGCCTAAACGCCCCTGTAGTACAAACACGCGTTGGCACGACCATGATTCCTTGTGGGACTATCTTCGTGCAGCAAGGCTGGTTCGACATTATGTTCCCGACAGGACTTTACTGCTCTTCGCGAGATGTACGAGTTCTTGTTATCACAGGCGGGGCCCGACGCGGATGAACAAGACGAACTCTCGTATGCAAGAGTGTCGCCGTTGGCATCGAGTACATCTCCCCTTTCGCTTGGAGCCGATTTCTTTTCATCCCGTGCTCGCCGCTCACCTCTGGATGGCGTGACGTCTGCGAGTGGGCTTCCCGTTGGTGAGCGGAAGAGCAGTGTGTTCAGTCATGCAGAATATTTGGAGACATATGCAGACCTTGAGAAGACGAGGTTGGTGAATGGGGAGAATCCAATGATTGGATTTTATGAAAATGTTAATGGTGTTATTTTGATGCGCGTTGTTAATGAATTTTGCTTCAGTGTCTCGCGCTGTACATGATTCAGAAGATTATTCAATTGGGTAATTTTCGTTGGGCCACAGCCAATATGCCTATCTGATAGGAGTCTGTGTACAAATGATACAATATCATCAACCACCGATCACCCCCTTCATGGAACCCACACTGGGTTGACAGTGTTGCGAGTGCACGGCAAGCACTTTGCTACTCTGAACAGACCAGAAATATTGATGCTAGTGCAAGAGCAATCCAGTTTGCGATGGGAGCTTTTAGCATCGGTATCGCGAAATATCTATTCGAGCAAAGTTACCACATGAGATAAGTCAAACGTTGCCAATCTAACTATTACTGAACTTTAAGGACCTGATACGTAACGCATCTCCCCGTCCCTGATGACATTATACAGGGGCTTATCATAAGGCAAATGCAACTATACAGAAGTGCAAACAGTACATAGCACCGCCGCCGATCCGACTTGTAGTCCAAAGTATAAAATTTGTAGTTTGCAATCACTCCTGCAAATTAAATACTTGACGGATTCGATTGGTAAAATCGCATGAAGTAGATCCTCGAGGACCGATAGCAGTGATAACGGCCATGTCATTTGAACGGTCCGCTGTCATGGGATGCATGTAATACCGCCCAGCCCAAATTGGCATGGTAGATTGTGAACTCTCCCGAATATCGGCAAGCTTTAACGCCGTATCCAGTCCAAGTTTCTGTACATCTTCGAGTCCAATGGGCTCTTCTCTCCTTGCCAGTTGCAGCAGACCAGAGACCAGCCATTCTGTGATCCCATAATCTTGAGCAAGAGCAACCTTGTCTAGAGGTCGCATAGCGACCATAGGCTCCATCTGTTGAATGGCGAATTCCTGAACGCGAGTGAAGCTCCACATTTTAGATAGCTTCAATATGCCTATCCATTCTTCGAGGGTGGCTGGAAGTGCATCCAGGGAAGGTGATAAACGGGTATATGGCCTTACAAAGGAAAAACGCTATCAGGCTCCGAGTCACAAATTCGTGAAGCCATTCTCATTAATGCTCACATGGGATACAAAACCTTCATGAGGGACTGGAACTCTTCCCTCTGAATGCCCTCGAGAACGATAGGATTTGTGTCTGAGCAACCCTCAGCTCCGTCGGCTTGAACAGGTAGTAGAAACAAATCGCGAAAGACGTCTGACTGCGACTCTAGGGTATCACGAGGCACTCTGAATAAGTAGTCCTCGACCTGGCGCAGACAGAGTGAGCTGCATGGCCGCGGCTGCCCAATAACAACTCACCAGAAATGTGACGAAAGTGAAGTAAAAATTTTCATGGTGTTTGGGAGTAGCCATTGCAAGTAGATATCAGCCTGGTGAATCGTGATGATAAGAGTGAACGTTAGCGCTCAGTGACATTTTGTGCGAGGTACACCATGATAGTATCGGCGCTAGCCAGGGGTTTGTATCTTACATAATTCAAGACACTGATCTATTGTTGGCAGTAGTTGACACGGTGGCGGGTAGGTGCAGGTAGGTGCTCAGTACGGTACATATAAGCGCATCTCCCGTATCTAGGCGTCATGATATGGGAAGCAGATAGATTTGTAATCCTTCGATCAGGAAACATCATAGCATCCGCAAGGTATACATGTAATAATGGAAAGATTCTCCCAGTTGGTTGATCTCAAGTGAAGTATTTCGTGTTATATGAGGACCAGTGAGATATCGTCTTCGGAAGTGAGGTTGTCCGAAGGTAATGTAGATGAAGATGCCATTGCGTTTAAGTACACTACCAGTCCCTGTGAGACCAGAAGGTACGAAGATGTAAAGGGACTAACCGTATGACTTGAGATACTTCTGCTGTGCAGTCTTTGATTACTTGCTCTGGTGGATCCTGTGAAACAAGGAATCTTCTCAGTACGTTGTATGTTGCTATGATGGTTAAACATACCCAGACGTCGGTTGAAGACGTCATCATTGCATCCATTGTTCCTGGGACCGGAAAGCGTGAGATTTCGAAAAACAGGAACTAAAATTCGCGACGTACCTTTATCGATGGCGACATCAAAGGATGAGGTATCTAGACCGTCTAGAGTTCGGACGTCCTTCACTTCCCCTATCAAAGAATTAATGTGTTTTCAGTGGGTTCTGAGGAAATAACTACATGTCATCTCTGGGCGCGCATCTTTGTGTCGGTTGCGCATCTTCTCAATCACAACGGGCGAATACTTTGGGAGAAATATGAGGTGAATAAAGACCATCGCAGCGAGAAGCGTACATCAACGTTGACAATGTTTTTGTACCCGTCTTCCCACATCTGTTCGCACGACGGTGTTAGTAGCAAGATCACACAACATATGCGAGAGGAGATATCTACATCCTCTGAAAACTTTGAATTTCCACAACCGAGCATTAGGATGCGTGCATCTTTACTGGGGATGAACTTGCGGATGTCATGCGCAACATCCGCGTAGGTCTTGAACCAGTCAAAAGAGGCATCCTCAGCTTCTCTAATCATCTACGGTATCTCATGACTCATCAAGGGAGCAGACGAAGACATACTGCTCGTATCTCTTGTCCCTTTAATGAATTGTTTGGTAAATAAATAGTCTCTGAAACAGATACTACTCACCAGTACACTTCGGTACCATACTCTTCATTCTTGTGGGGAAGGGACATGTTGATATCCAACCGGTTGGTGAAGCTGAGGCCTGCGCTAGTCAAGAATCAATTGATGTTGTTTCCAGCTCCGAATCCATCGATATCTAACTCGATGCCAACGCCGCGGAGTTTTATGTCAGTGGTCGCCGGTCGGACGGCGGACCTACTATCCCTTCCAACACCCCACAGATGCTCACAAAAATCTTATTGAAATTCTTGACATAGATATCATTATCTCTCTAATATATACAACCCCTTACGAGGTTGCGACTACAATTAATGTCAAAGCAGAATTGAGTGAGATACTAAGTTGAAAGTGCCGCCAAGTCATTTCACTTGCCGATATGTACCGTGACGGAGTTTCAATATATATTGCAAGTGCCAACTAGTGCCAGCTACTGAATATTTTCAATGACGGTTCCATTGCATCATCAGCCTCGATTATCCATATGATCCAAGTCTCACACATCCCCTTCAAAAATTTACAACCACAGCACTAATGGTCACCCTCGCACTTAAGTAGACATATCTAGTAGTAAATACTGTACTTGCTCGAATACTGACTGAACTTGCGCTCTTGCTTGACTGCAGAGCTTAATTTGAAACCGGCCTATGAATATATGACATATTGTGACTCACAGTGACGACTGCACCGGAAGGGATAGTACACTATGCTTAACGTAGCTTTAGAAGTCATTCATAAAACATATTCACTTCAGTCTTATATGTATGAGAAGCAAAATCAAGTTGGCTTGAGAGTAATGAATTATCTGTGTTGTGGACAGAAAACCCCGTAACTGTCTGCTACTACAATTCAAGATTCGAGCTACAGTTTCATATTCGATTATTTCCTGGTATGCTGAAGAGAAAATCAGGATACCAAGAAGGCATTACGTTCGTGTGATGTTGCATGTGCACCAAAACACAAGATAAAATGATCAGGGTTCGTGCCATGACACAAAAAAGGCCGTCACGATGCGTCAGCAATACTGGGCATCCTCTCAATCGCGGAATTGCGGAATGAGGATTTGTCTTGCATGGAGTCTGTGGTTGCATCATTAAGATGAGGTATGAAGGGGATGGAGAGACCACACCGTTATTAGATTTGTACTCCATGATGGTCGATGGAGGAAGGTTGAGCACAGTGCGCAAGGTGTCCCTACCATAGCAATCAGACCGTTAAAATTACGAGGAAAAAATGCAAAAGACGCACCGAATCTTCTCCCGCACCTTGGCATCCCCATCGACGCGATTCCACAAGCTCACGATATCCTCACTCTGACGCACGCTGATGGTGCAACCACAAATTTCTGGCCACCCCCCTTCTTCCCCTTCCCCCTGTGTGCCACATTCATCAAACATGTCACCCACGACGCCCATAACAAGGTCCTCCCACACTCTGTCTGCTACTCCCTTGCGCAATCGTATGATCCACTTTCCACCAGCACGATTCAGGGGGTCTTCCCACACGGGCCTGCGAACACCTGCATGGAACAGGAGGTAGTCCGTAGTGGGCAGGAGTGCAGAGGGGGGTGAAAGGTGAGTTTGAAGTCCCCAAAAAGATTCAACGCTGGAAAAAGAAGCGATCTTTTTGATGCCTTCTTCATAATTGGTGATTTTATTTCCCGGAGCGCGCTGTTGTCGGAACCAGAAGACCCACCTGGTGAAACAGACATAAGTCACGGATGAGAATGAGAAGGAAGCCACGAACATACGTATTCCGGAGAGGGTGAACGGCCAGCGGTGCAGGAACATCGACACCCCGGTCGCGCTCCTCGTGTGGCGGGTGTGCGACGGAAGTGGAGAAATGCCTGCTTGTAGGGGGTCGCGGACGCGTCTCTGCTGGGATGGCAGGTGTGGTAGTAGCTGTAGTTGTGGTTGTGGTGGTGTTAGATGCTGCGTTTGCAAAGCGAGTCTGGAATTGCGAATGGTTGGAGAAGTAGCCAGCCATTGTGAATAGGATAAATAGATGAATAAAATTGCGAGAGAAAAAAGAGATCTTGGACGTTAATGGAGTATGGAGTACTAGGATCGGCCACTAGAAGCAGAAAGAGAGGACGTTCGGTGAGTATCAGTGAGTATGGACAGACAAAGTATGAACAAGATGGTATCGTAGGCCCGGGTGATTGAGAAAAGCAAAGGATAATAGGATTAGTAAGCCGTAGTCTTGACTGTCCTTTCATCTCAACCACTACCACGAAATCTAGAACTTCTGGGCCATAACGGCTAGGCAACCACAAAGCACTCATAGACAAGTACTTGCGTAGAAATCGATCCGATCATTCAAGACATTATCAATACGCGTTCGCATCCTCTATAGACTCACTATACCCATTCATTCAAGATCTGAGCGGCACCATGTCGCACGCCAGACACCAGTCCTCATCGCCACGTAAGTCAATGCGGGCGTCTGAACCTCTCTCGTCCCTGGATCAGACTATGCCAAATGGGGCACATTCACTGGCACATGAACTCGCTGTTGCACTAATGCCTGAGCCCGGAGGCGGGTCCCGAATGCTGGCGGAGGAGTTTGGGATTGAGTATGATGAAGGCGCGGAGGGCATTGATGAAAATGACTGCGTACGTGGAAATGAGGACCGTGAAGTGCACGTAGCAGGGGACAGTCTTGCGAACGAGATTGGAAGCAGCCTAGCTGATGAGATGGGGGCCTCTAATTTGGCGGATGAACTAGGCGGGAGTGGGAGCGCTGATGAGGACGCCGATGAAGATGTTGAAGACAGTCTAGATGAGGATGATGGGGATGACTCGCTTATACCAAGAAGACCAGAGCAAGATGCCATGGAGATTCTTGCACAAAATCTTGCTTCAACAGATCAATTCCTTGCACATTTACGCGCCGTCGATGCTCTACCTACTTTATCCTCCGCACACACCTCGGATACTGCTCCAAGCGCACACGTCCTGGAAAGACTGGCATCGGACATGATCCGTGCTATCAACGAGGCCACAAAAGAGAGGGAAAGTCAAGTGCGCGAGCTCATTGCCTATGAGCGCGAATTCCGCCGGCTTTCGACCGAGATCGGCGGAAATGACGTCCTCTGTGAGTTGGATGACATTGACGAGGGCGAGAGCGAGAGCGGACATGCACCGACGAAGCTAGACACCGTCGCCGAGGAAGACGAGCTTGACTCATCTTATGCACCATCCTTACCTTCGTCGCCCCAAAAGCCCTCTTTCACTGCACCCCAACCCTCCAGTGCTGCTGCACCGCTGCCGCACCTGGTGCAACTTAGAACACATACAGCGGCCCTACTCTCATCACTCACGACGATATCAGAGCAGGCGCAGGTGAATGGAGCCGCTACAGCAGATTCAGGTCGGCGGATTCGTGCGCTGAAGAACCGTTTTGGTGGGTTACGCGGGGAGTGGGAAGGCGCGGAGCGCAGCCGTGGACGTATTGAACGATGGGAGCGGGAAGGCGCATATCTCAACTGCAGGAGAGTTGCTGAGGAACACATGATCGCATTCCAACAGGCCATAGATGAGGCGGGGGTTAAGACACAGGCGATTATGGCGCGATAGATGGCATGATGTAGAATGGACTTGACTACGCTGGAGGATCGCTACATATCTATTCACATTCACTCACTACAGTATTATACCAGCACATCATTTATTGTATGTAGGACTGACTAGTCCGACGTCGGTCATCTATGCAGCACTTCGTTCCGGAAGATATGTAAGAGTTACATTACACCAAAGTGTATACACGGACGTGTCAAAATTTCAACAATTTCAACATGATACAATTATACAATGCTCGGAGGACCCGGAATCAATTTTAGCACCGAGACATGACGGTGTCTGATACAACAAAACTAGTAGTGCGCTCTAATGTAACAGCATTTAGTATCTCATTCTGTTCTCAGAAGGCAAATATTGTACCAGTGGTCGAAGCTTTTTCAGGCACAACATTGACCCCTGCAGCTGATGGTATTGGTCTTGGTGGAAAAATCGTGGTCAATACATCGGTCGTCGATGCGGAACACCAGAACCATTATACCGTGACACAAGGTCTTTCTGCAAATGTCACCTGCAGTTACCTTCGCCCGAGCGAGTTTTTGCGGAAGTGGGATGATCATACCACTTCGCCGGTCTTTCGATTATCAATTACAACCGGAGAATTCATTGTCCTGTTAATAGTAGCGTATCCACCTGGGATCCAACACGTAGGTTAGTGGCTGTGCTATGACATGTTACATGGCTGAGCGCAAAGCTAACTGAGACTTATTTGAAGTAGGAAACGCGATGATAATTGAGTGAAGGCCGCGAATATATAATAGTACAAGGAAATGGCCTAGTTGCGCAAGTTGTACACCTTCGTGCCATAGTATACACCCGCAGCACTACTCGTTGCAGCGAGCACAAGGGGTACCGGGCCCTTGGTAATACGGGGAAGAGATGAGAGCAATAGCAGGGCCGAAGCACCTACGAGAACAAAAGTCAGTATATAAGAATGAGGATTTGAAAGAAGGCAACGTACCCAAGGCGACCTCCAACCCATTTGGCGCGCCTTTCCTGATGACTTCTGCACTCCACAGGAACAAAAGACCCACACTAGAGTACAAGAGTTCGCGAAAACACGCTTTTATGTTATCAGGACGCGACTCACCCGATGCCAGCAACGAGCGAAGGAACCGAACGAGTTCTTGCATACCCAGTGATGCCGCCGACGATACAGAGACCGCCCATGGTGTATGCAGGGTAGGCAGACTGGACAGACTTGGTGTGAGTGGTGAGTCTATATAAATAAGATAAAGTCTTACCATTGTGCAAAACTGTAAAGCGAAGAAAATAATACGAGGTTGGAAGTAAGGTGGCTTTGAAGTCGTGGAATTCGCAACTACAACATTTTACCCCGCATAGACCGCATCATACTTATGGATTGTCAGAGATTTCAGACTCCGCGGTAAGCGATTAGTAAAATAAATTAATATATTCACCTTTTCGCTAGCTGGACTATGGATGCTCAGCTCCTTGCACCGCTCACGCAACTTACTGCTCTTTCCCAATCACTCTTCCTTTCACTATCTCAGCAGCCTTCGCAAAAACAAGTTCCCCCACCTCCGCTAAACTCATTTGCAGCCGTCGATGCTGAGCTGCAAGCAGCACTGACAACAGCAGCAGCACATCAGCGCCGACAGGCACGCATTGTCGCATTACAGCAGGAGCTATTGGAGGTGGATGCTCGATGGCGCGCTGTATGTGAGGCATTGGAAGAGGGGAGGAAGGTATTGGATGAGATCGTGAAGGAGGGCGATGAATGTGTAGAATGCATAAGAAAGGCAAAGGAGGGTTCGTAGTCTATTTTTTTATCCGGTTGACATTAAACTGCTGTACACATGAAGCCGCGATACCTTATCCCGAATTGCTTGCATATGCACAAAGTCTTAGCGCTTTTACGAGTGCGCCGCCAGGCTTGACTATGCCCGAGCCAGGTGCTGTAGGTCCTGTGCCTCTATTCTTCCCGCCATTCCCGAATGAGGAGAAGATGCGCCGCGGCAGACTGAATGTGGAGCGTCCGCTGGGTGGGCTTGGGGAGAATCATAGCGTGAGAGGTGAGTGGTTCTTCAATAACAAGCCTATTCTGCTAGTGGTCGGGTTTTGTCTACTCCTGGTTTCATATTTGGTTTAATTCTTATAACTGACTTTCACTCTGAAATATTATCATTATTTTTGCGTGCATTTTGTTTCCTTCACTATATATATTCCCTTCTGTGCCTTCGAATTGAACTCAAACTAACGCATGAGCAGCGCCAGAGCCCTCGCCCCCACCTGTCCAGACACGCGAGCGCCCAGGTGTGAACCCTTATCGTCACGATACACGCCCACAGCTGGCTGTGTTCGACCTCGATCTCGACCTCAATCCAGATCTATGATCTCAACTGTGTCGCGGGGAAATCCCGTTAGGCACTGCCGGTGAGTCCTGATGTGTTCGGTTTATTGTTTTCTCTCATCTGGATAACAAAGTGCAGTGCGACATCGGGGAGAACATTGATTGCGCAAACTCGAGGTGGTAGTCCCTTCAATGGCACAACTCTTGTCTCAATTGACAGTAACGGAAGCACGCAGTTTCGTGAGGCTGAAACTACCGGTATATATCTTCAGCCTATGAATAGTTGCAGCCATTATAAGACTGCCTATCCAATGTCCATCGTGCCCAGATGTTAAGGCCAAGGTACCAAGCGCTGACTTTTAACAATTACCATTAATTCGGTACATACTCAGTATTCAGTTTCTAGTCCAGTGCAAGGTGTTATATAATGTGGGGTAAATGCGGGGTACGAGAAATGGTTAGCCTCCTTCCAGTTCCTATCCTCCTTTCGATGATTCCAAATAATTAAAGTGATGTCAATATATATTGTCGATGATCAAGTTTCTCGATCCTGCGAATGAATGATTTACGAGGCGTGGCCACATGCGGGTGCAAACACTTGGAAGGATGTCAGGAAGAATAGTTTGTCACGATGCAACGCCCAGGCTTACTGCAGGGTATACCATTGCAAGACATGGCATAGTGAGGGAGGATCAGTTGTCTGCCTCCTTAGTCTTGCGGAGGGTTTCTAGTGCTACAGTCTTTGCCTCCATTAGGGAGGCTACTTGTGAGCCTTCGACAGACATTTCCTGTCGAACCTCATGCACAAGTAGCGGTGCTGCAGGCATAGGTGCAGACTTGGACCGTTTCATCATTTTGGCTAGCAACTCCGATACACCACCTATACTCCTCTTTCTGCGGTGTTCCTGATCAGCACGGATTTTGGCCTCTTCGAACTGACGACCCCATATGATAAGTTGTCTGCGAAACCCAATATTTGGCGCAACTATTCCACGCTTTGCTTGAACATGCTTAATGGTCTCCAAAGCGTGCATCGGTGTTGTTGCGACGAGATAGGCGCAAATTAAGATAGCTGATCTCGAGATCCCCTGGAAACAGTGGACCTACGAGGGGTGCCTCTGTTGGTTCCTACAAATTAAGAGCTTAGCGATCCAAGGCGCACCAAGACTTTTGTGTCTTCTTTATCCAGCGCCTCCTTGATAAACTCCACGACGGGATCGAACCATCCGCAAATCTGCTCCTCGGCTAAATCGCGCACGGGAACGTGGAAGACCTGGACATGCGGTGGAAATACGCCCGTGATATCAAAATCGATAGCAGATACGACGTGTGTGATACCGAGACGTGCGAGGTTGCCTGGTGTGCGAGCAGTGTGGTAATCGGTAAGATAGAGGCGGGGAGTTATGGCTGTTGCTGCGCGTCCGTGAGATGGGTCTTCGTCGTTCCTTGGGCGTCTAGAAGTTGTTTTTTGGATGAGTGAAGATTGCCATGAGGTAGAAGGGAAGGATATCATGATCTGGGATGGTGCGAAAGAAGGGGTATCTTCAGTAGTGCAACAATGAAGCTCCTCCGGTCGAAGCTGGGAATTTTATAGGTCCAGGTCGACTTCCGGATCAACTGAATACCTCAATAAACGAGATCTATGTAGGTTTCTCAGCTGTTGTAACTCATCGGGCAGTGCACAGGTCATCGCATTACATATGCAAAAACAGCCATAAATACAACTCTAAGCTCTTAAATTTGGCGCATAACATTGAAAGCGCGCCCTCAGGCCTCATGCCTGCTAGGCCTGAATATGCATCAATATATGTATTTCTTCATCTCACAGGCTGCGAAGTTATTAGTAACTCTTGATCGGAATGGTAGAAGCCTCCAGGCGAATCGGCGATATACGGCCAGTTCACAGACATAACTCACAATAATGCGATGTATGTGATATGATATTTCAATAACCTAAGCCATACGTAGTAGTCATGGCAGGTAATACACGACGTGCCAAGTGTGTGACATGTCCCTGGATACCAGAGGTGAAAGCGTACTGGAAACTTGCTCGCAACTGAATCATGATGCAGCCTTTTGCTCAGCCCGTGCTTTCCGCTGATGCGTAAAATCAGTACAGTCAATTACGGGAATTTTGAGAAGTCAGCCCACCGATCCATTGAGAGCGTACAGCGAGTTCTTGCGGAACTATGTGTGCTTGAGCACTCAGCACATAGAATCAGACACCTAGAAACGTACCTTGAGGTCAACCTATAATGAAAAGTGAGCCCAAGAGCAAATATTGAATATTTTGACAACGCACCCCCCTCAGCGACCGAGACCGGTTAGTTTGTGGTCTCCTGATACCATTGCGGTGTGCCTTGCGGTTCTGGTTGTGGTTGGTGTGGCTTTGCAAATTTCAGTTGGATAGATATCTACGAAACTACCAGACGCACTTTTTGGACTTGGCCATGGCGTCGACGTTAGTTTGAGGCTTGGACTCAAACGCTTCAATGTGAATATTAATGACCGCGTTGGAATCAGGTATATCGAATGATGTGGCTGAAGAACTGTCTAGTTGATTGTCTCACGGATCGGCAAACCCCGAAGGCATTGCTTTGGTAAGCTAGATTAGTAATACGTGACTTCTTACATCATTTCAAGTTGTAGTAGGACTCGTCGTTTAGCATATCGTTCAAACCACTATGTCGAAACATCACCCCGGTGAGTCTCCTCTCCTGTGCCTCTAGAACAGAGAATTGAACAGACTGATACAGATTTGATTATGTGCCGGCGCCAGCCTGGTATTGGTGAGTAAATCATAAAACGATCCGGCGGTGATGTTTATCTTATGAATGCTTCAAGCTATTGGCAGATTGTGTGAGAAGTGTGATGGTAAATGGTACGCCAAGCAACACTATCTTTCGTACTATCAACTAATACGCAGAGACTTAGTCCCGTCTGTGATTCATACGTTCGACCTGAAACACTCGTCCGGATATGTGACGAGTGTAATTTTGGTACATATGGAGGAAGGTGTATTATCTGCGGATCACCAGGTGCGTTACAACCATTCGTGCGTTTAGAGCATAGATCATTCGTATCCTCGTAGGTATCTCAGATGCGTACTACTGTGCAGAGTGCACGCGGTTAGAAAAAGACAGAGACGGATGTCCGAAGATCGTGAATTTGGGTGCTAGTAGGACAGATTTATTCTACGAGAGACGCAGGCTAGGTCAGTATTGCGTGGTTGAAAAGCTTCTCGTCAGCTGCTAACATAAGCCCTTGTCCCATCCAGGCTTTAAGAAGAGCTAGCCTTACACATACTACACTTTGTGCGACTTCACTCATGAGTTGCACCAGATTTTGCGCTCCAAGATGTCTGTATTTCATTATACGAAGACGGGGTAGGAGTAGGTATGCGCTCGATTTGTCACCCAAATGCGTAGAACATTAAGAATATATATATATCGGTATACATCTAGCAGTACACTGGGAAAGGGATGATAGGCGGGCTGTCGTTGGGGTTTTCCAGGTTTGCGAATCGCCTATATTCTGATTAGATGGCATTACGTGAAAGCTGTAAGAACAACACACCGGAATTGAACCATGTCGACCTTCTTCGTGTGTTAGTAGATGGATGATGTAGGATACGGAAGACGTACAGGTGCCTTAAATACAACAGATATGTGCGTCTCGTCATGAGTGTCAAGAGATTCACATTCTCCACATAGGTCTTTCGCGCAATACGCGCAACGGTACCATGCTCCTTGAATGCGCTCCATACAGCGATCGCAGAGCGCTGTGGAGTGAACCAAATGATAGAGATACTCTGTGAATCTTCAATGTGAGTGTGAACTCTTATCAGTATGGTCGACAAACCTTGTGGATCCGCGTTGGGTGCGAGGCCGCCAACAGGACCTGCCGGGACCTTGTACCTACCAACGCGTACTGAATAACCTCGATGGATTGTTACAATTCAAAGCTCACAGTTTCGGAAGGAAACCAGACGGTGACTCGAGTTGTACGTTAACAGGTCTCGGTATCTTGAAAAAAGAGTGCATTGGGTCATGGATGGCATATGACTTCTGCTCGCATGATTGGCACTTGACATTCGTGATGAGAACAGTGTAAGTGTGTAATTGCAATGCACATACCAAGCTATATGCAGTGGGTGAAGAGGGGCATGTAGCACATTGATACCGTGTACCAATTATTGTCTGGAGAGCCATCAGCCCTTCATGGGAGTATGATTGCGAGGACCAAACCTGGTTGCAGCCCTTGCAGGACAAGTGGTGGTTCAGCGACTCGCCATCAAGCGCACTTCGAGCATGTCTCGAGCCAACGACCGTCTGAGCATATGAAGAGTATACAGAGCCTGGTTTGGAGTGGGATGCAGTCAAAACATGTGCTGCGTCCCTGCCTGTCCATAAATGGATGGCACGGCGGCTAGCCGTTTGCACTTCTGTTGTTTCAAGTGGATAGGGAATCTTGAAAAAATGAGCCATGTGTTCGACCCTGAGAAAGATAACAAATACTTTTATCATAATATGCGAGGATATGTGCCCCCCGTCCGAGGAGTCCAAGTTGCCTGGAAGTCCTGCAGATTCGCAATTGGAGCAAATGTCGATGGAGTCGCAGATCGCGCAGTGGAATCGGGCACCAAGAATATCTTGTGAACAACTGAAATTCATCAGGTACTGTAATCATGTCGCTATAGGCCACCTACTGTGCACACTTGACGCCGGGATGTTTCATAGCTACAAATATAGCAGTGAGAGAGGACAGACAACTGTTTCTTAAAACACTCACAACGTTCCTCATTATTGTCGTTTGACATTATCATTGGTAGAGCATGTGAATATTCTGGTTCACTTCTAGACCTAACAGACTTTTCCGTGACTACCAGGAATGCATGTGAAGGGTGTATATCGTGGACTTGGCTGCCCAACCAGGTATTAGTTCAATCTACATCGCACAAAAATCCACTTGCCTGTAACACGCTCGACATAAATTGAATTTCTGACATGATGTACATTTATACCGCTGGTTCACGATGGCTGAATTGCAAGTCGAACATTTACAGATATGCATATCATCTTGCTCTGTGAAGAATGAAGGTAAAGATGTCGTTCCAATGTCGTATATTCCATTATATGCTTACCTACGTCTTCCCATCCATGATGGCCCCAGACCTTTTCAAAATACGCATGTCTGAGCTGGCCTTTCTGTCTGGGAGCGGAACGACTCCACGAAGATAAATCGTCTTCAGGAGACGTAGATTCTGCACCTGATCCATTCCGCCGCTCCGTGCTTGCACGAAGCGCATGTATCACGCCAGCCGATTCAACACATCCCGAGCACAGTTCAAAGCCCATAGTAGATGACTCGGATCCATGGCGAAATCTGAAACCTGACCGTGCACTATATAATGTAGGGCTTGACGAAGAGGAACCGGGTAAGGAAGGGAGTGGCTTGTTGTGTTTGTGTTCGCTGCGCGTCTGCGGCGACCCGCTTAGTGTGACAGAATCGAAGAACGTAGATGGGGATGGTGAAGACGACAGGAGTGTGTGATGAGGAGGAGGGGGATAAGAATGTAATGGCTCTAGGTCTCTGGCCTTTCCTTTGCCTAGATCAGAGTCTGAGCCGTTGCGGAGCACGATGCTTGCAAGAGGTTCCTTCTCGCCACACACCGCACAGACGTACCGAATGCCATCTAGTATGACTCCACAGTCTGAACAAGTAGTGAGCGAGCCTGGAGGAGGTCCCGGGGGTGCAACAAACTGGAGCACCTCTGGTGGAATGTCGGGAGCGATTGGGTATGGTGCTTGGTCAGATTTGGAGGAGAGTGGGGAAAAACGCTTATATGAATCAGGGGTGTCATCGGAATGATCATGATCTGCTAGCTTTTGTTGCGAAGCAATCCACGTAAGCTGCATGCTGTTTGGCCGCGGGGGCGAACCGCTAAAAGGGTCGGCGTCATACTTGACACTCAAATTGTCCTCGTAACCCGAATCATGTGTCGTAGAACTCGCACCAGTATACGAGTAGTAATATTTCCCGCGAGGATCTCGTTCCAGCGCAAGATCCCCATCCATGTTGTTAGATGGAATGTGCTCGTCAGAATATGTTAATGATATTGACCTCGAATCAGATTCCGAGGGCTCAGGTGTTGCCCCGAGCATGGCTTTGATTGTGCGCGCATTTTGATCGCGCAACCACGCCGCCCCTCTGTCTTGAGCAGAACGCGCCAATGCTATGTCAATTGGCGTAGGAGAGCATGACCGATGTGAAGGGGCCATGTCAGATGCTGACGCATCAGGGTGCTCCTGGAGCTTGAGTCGTTCAAATGCTACTACAGGGTCTTCTGGAACGCGTTCTTCAGTGAAGAACTGGTGATTGTCTGCGAATGGATCCTCATCATGCATTGTTTGATCTTCCACCGCTGTTGAATCTCTTTGGGATGCCGAACGACCGGTAACACTGTTCTCGGGTATAGAAAATGAATCTTGGTTTCTGACCAAGTCATCCGAACGTGGTGTGATAGGGTGCACTGTTGATCCTTTTGCAAAGCGCCAATTGGTATCTCTCGAGCTCACTGTCACTGAATCATCATCAACTTCCCCTCCTCCGACAGACCAGCTTAATTCGCCTTCGCTCCTGTTACGGCCTTTGTATTCTTCCATGCTGGCGAGACTTGATGTGTCGCTTAGGCTCGGGCCATCGTAATCAACGGTGATGTGAACACGTAGCGTTATCCGCCTGCTTCCGAAGCTGCGGCCAGATAGAATTGATGCTGCAGAGGAAAGTGGAGGATCGTCAGATCCAGCCTGGAAGTATTGAATGGCTTCTGTGAGATCGGATTCTGTGGTGATATCGGTAATTTCGCCGTCATCGTCCTTGTACGCAATCACATATGAAGTCGCGTAAAGTGAGAAACACTGTTCAACCTAACCAATGGTATGGAAGAAGAGAATATGAATGATAAGCTTTAAGTTTAATGACCAAAGAGACGCACTCTGTTCCTCAGCAGCTCGTATGAACAATTCCTAGCAGAAGCAAAGCTTATCCGCTTGTTCCATCTATCGAAGGCGCACTTGACGACTAGAGGTCTGTCTGGCCTAACATGCATCTTTCTTGCAGGTTATATCACCTTGGCCTAAGTGACCTTCCAACCAAAGGAGGCGCACGTTCCGCAGTCAAGTCGGCACTGTACTCATCCCGCGCTGACTGGATTCAGTAATTTCAAGTTGCCGATAATCAAAATGGGAAATCTCCTATCTACAGGACGCTCATATTGTTACTGTGCACTAGGGATTTCTGTCAATGTGAGCCTCTCTATATATATATGAAGTTACAAATGAACGAGGAACAAGAGACATTGTGCGCATATACAATGATATAATGCTGAAAAGTACTAGGACAAATGGAAACTGCCAACTCCTTCTTTCATCGCAATGCGTAATTTCTCTCGCATCACTGTTTTTGAACTATACTCAGGTAGCTTCAGGTAATTGACGCAGGTCATTACACTTGGCAGGTAATCATCTGCCACAAGTGGTGGTTCGTGTGGTTTGCGAACGACAGTGAGTGGAGGGTTAAGACCACGGAACCCTTTGAGCACGGCGTCAGCCAGTCTTGAGATGAAATGTAACGAAACACACCTCCGATAGGAAGTTTCGGGCTTCCTGTGATAAATTGAAGGAAATCACGGCGAGCTAAGGCATCGAAGTCCGACATGATCCCTACAAGCTCGCGAATGGCACGACTCTCGCTGTGGAAGCCATGGTCGGCTTTGATAGCTTCATTCAACGCTACAGTCTTGTTGTCAGTCAGGTTGACACCACTACAAAAATTCACGTACTCTCAACTCCCCAGTCTTCGTCTGAATTACCAAATAACATGACCAACTCATCCGCCGAGAACGCCTGCAAATCAGAAATTGGGAACACCTTTGAGAAGCCCTCTCGGAACGCCCTGGCCTGTGGCTGAACGCCAGTGCCAATAATTGCATCCAGGACCTCGTGAATGTATTCTTCTGCATTTTCCGAAGTCACAGGAATGTTACGTCCGCCAGGCTATAACATGCATTATGATCCACTTGAATAATGCCAACAAGATGAGACTCACCCGAAGCTCGATGTCGTATCCGGGAACTGTGAAATCAAGCGCAAGATCTTCGACATTGACGATATCCATTAATGCAACCTTGCGGAAGAGCTAGATATCACAAAGGTAAGAAAACCTCTAGTCATGAAGTGGTAAATCAGCCAGAATACCTTCTCGCTCTGCCCTTTCATGGACGCGTAGCTCTGGAGTTTGGAGAGAGAGCTGGCAAGTTCGTTGTCCACAAGCTGGACACAATCATATGAGTACAGTGTCTTATTCGCACACAAAATTTCTTACTTTCAAGGACTCGATGGTCAAAGGCACTTCCTCCCCTAGCACGAGTTTAACGAAAATCTTGTTGACTGAGAGATCTATAATGCGGGAGTCCAACATTGCCTTCGCCACATATTGGCCAACAACTCGGAGGATGTGCGTCCGTTTTCTACCACTAGACATCAGATATACAACAGCCATTTAGGTTAAGGAAGCACTCACTGTCCCCCATCATTTGCAATGTCATCAGGGCTGATAGGGGCAGGATAGAGTCCCGCAGGGTGATGGACATATATCCCAGGAGCAGCTGAGTCGGCATCTCGCCATATCTTGAGATCTCTCCTGGCAAATTCCTTCGAAACGAGGGAATAAAACTCAAGAGTAGGTCCAAGCCCAGTCCCAACCTCATCAAAATACTCCACTTCCAAGATCGAGGATGAAGACCCATAGAGCTCGAAAACCTTGACCGCTGACTCCAGTATGTGTTTACGAGAGATACGGACCTTCTGGCGCTGCAGCCGTCCAAGAAAACCGATACCCTCGTCTCGCCGCGAGCTGTCCTGGCTGCGGCCTTGCTGGCTTTGCCACTTCAGAATAAGGCGAGCGTATCCAAAAGAAGTCGATTGGAGGTAGTTGTACCTAGTGGCAAATGGAAAGAGGAAAGGGAAGTTTTGTGGCAAGTCAAGTGCCCAGTCGGGTAAGCATGAACTAAACAGAGTAAGCAACTGCAAGTATATAAGAGGAACGGCTGAATTACCTGACCACGATCATCGGTTCCTCCAGCTGACGAGTGAGTTTAGCAGTTAACTTGTTGTTAATGAAGGTAGTCTCCGAGAGCGCGCGACGATCTAACGGTCTAGCTGGCCGTTGTGCTTCTGCAGCATTCAACCTATGCAATACGCGAAGCAAACGGAGAATCTTGGCATGAGGGGCATCATCTGGGAGGGAAGAAAGGATGGGACTGGGTGATCGGATTTTAGATGCCGAGGTGTCTGCACGAGCTGTCAATATCATCAGATTCAACAACACCAATCAGGTTACTGGTGCCTACATTCTTGGCTCGGGGGAGGGCCATTTACTTTCTTGAACTTGACTGTATAGATTCCCTGCCACATGGAACTAGATGGCACAGGTCCAAGCTTCTTACGGATTTCATGCTGATGAATGGCGCCATATATTGTCAGGTCAAGGGGGAGAAGGTGGTCATCCATCGAGAACTCAAGGTGCCAGTCCGACGGTTTGGCTTTTAGAGCAGCTGCATACGAGGTTTTATTCGGATTGGGCGGTCTAGATGATGAAATCGAAGGTGCTGTACTTGGAGTTGCAACTCGTGTTCCATCAGGAGTCTGCGCTTCCACCTTACTGCCGTCTGAGGATGTGTTGGATGAGTAACCCCCTACAGCATTATCACGATGGCTTACCATCAGCAATGGACAGGGTGACGGTCTTGTCTGCAGCAGAGTCGATGTCATCGTCATCTTCAAATACCTTCCAAGAGAGCGGTCAGCCCCAAAGTTATATGTCTGATTTCGGTAATTACCTCAGCGTCTACCTCATCATCGGTAAAGTCTGATATGAGTCCGCCGTCTTGAATAAGGGTTTCCATGCGTTGGGCTGTAGATTGAGGGGCAACAGATGATGACGAGCCAGTATGGACTGAACCGATGGCAGGCACTGTTGCGGGACTGCCTTCGCTTTTGTCACCTAATGGTCCGCCATTCTTAGCGCTGAGTCTTAAACTCCGGCGTCGGCCAATCTCCGAGGAGCCAGCGGCAGGTGTTTCAGAAGCAGGTTTTGCAGCACTGCTAGACTCTGCAGGCTTGCTTGCTTGCATTGGGGCTTCCGGAGGATTGCGCGAACTTGCTGGGCCAAATCCGGAGGCTGCCAAAGCTGCTAACATTCCAGACAGTCCTCCGGTCGACATCAACCCCGTAATTCTGGGACGCAAGTAATCATTCAATGCTTGGAACGTTGCGATGGCATGGATGGAAACCACCATGTTCTGGAGGTTGCGAGGAATGTCAGACTCATTATCTGCAACTAGACGAAGACGGAGTTGTCGGGCAAGCAGAGATGGTGAACTTCGCTTGGAATCTACCGCACGTTGAGTTTGACATAGAAAGGAGAAGGATCGGCATTGTACTCACCGTCTGTTCCTTGTGAAACAGTGACGACATCAAAGTCCTCCATTCTCGTGAGACTCTCCTGCAGCTTCTTCACCAAAACAGCAAGTGGAGACTGAGTAACAGTTCCACCTCTCGGGATACGGCTAAATGCATCATACAATAACTCTTGGCGTCGTTTGCTAGTGACTGTCATAAAGTAAATTGAGCGATCCAATGACACGCAGCAGTGATTCGTACCTGTACTCCTGGCAGCGTCAGTAGCAAAGCGCAACAACCCGTCGACAGCTCCGCTCTGCAAAAGCTCGAAGCTTGAGACAGAAGAGTGAGATGTGAAGTGATCTGCGATGTCCCTCAATGCAGACACCATGGCCGACTCGCCCACATCTGGAGTAGCAAGTCTATCGACAAGACGGCGAAGTTCATCAAAGGCATTATCTTCGTCTCCCTCCTCCTGTCCCAAAGAATACTTGAAACGGATGACTCGGGCCCGTAAAGTAATTGCATCCTCGGGCTCCAAAGAAAGCGAGTGAAGCTTTTTGTACCCGGGTATCGTAGAGGAAATATGAAGGGGAACGTTTACAGGGTCCGCTACGATGGTGCCATCTGAATCCTTAGATTTCATGGAAGTTAAAGTTCTTGCAGCAAGTGATTCGATTTCGTGGAATACTCCTTCTCGCCGCAGGACAGGGCGGTATTCGGCTGGAAGCTTCTGTAGCAGAAGATCGACGAGCTGAAGTGCACCGATGACTAGTGAAGGATGATCCTTAGACGATAGAATCGACGAGGCAAAACTCGCAACAGGTACTAGCTATATTTCAAAATCAGACGGGGCTATAAAACAAACAAAAAAAGATACTCGCATTAAAAGCGTCCTTCAGCGCCTCCCCTTCAAGGAAACCTACTGCCTTCAGTAGACCTGTCAAAGTTTTAACCCGGACGGGGGTAATTACGCTAGCAGCATATACGTCTATCAAGATGGGCACCATTAACTGCATAAATCGTCCGACAACCTCCGGCTTGGAACGCAGAAGCTCAGAACGATCTGCTACTGCAGGCTCAGCCACAGAGGTTAAAGGAAGAATGTCGTCAGGATCCTGCATTTGAAAGTCATTCATGCTGGTATCCTGAAATGGTTCTGCTGCAGGTGTTGCTTGCGCAGATGTGTCAGGGCTTGGCTGATAAGGTGCGAATACAGCCTGACGCGCAGCCGCGCGATCAGCCTTGGCTTTAGCTTTTACCATTCGTGACAATGCCTTGTCGGTATACCCCTTGTGATCAAACACGCCATCTTCAAAAGGTGTGAGTAGGCAATCATGTTATTACGAGATTCTCAGGCGTACCTTTTGGAAGAGGAGGCATTAGTTCAGACACCAGACTGAGGGCTTCTTCCACTTGCTCCTTGGATCGGTGGGCAAGATTCTCCATGACTGTCATATGAGTCACATCGCCGGCCAGCCCTTGGCCACCTTGCTCGCCCCCACCGCCAGATGCTGAGGGGAGAACTCCCGTCAGGATCTGGTAAAGTGTATCAACGATATCTGCCTGAAGTAGATTGAGGGTAATCTTTGGGCTTGCGCGGGCGGCTGTTGCCAGTGCCTTCAAGAGTAAAGTGAATGTATTAGCAGCAATCAAGGGGGAACCCCCGGCTGGCATAAGAAGTAAATTGATCGCACGAATGGCGGTCTCATCCAGCAGGCTTTCCAAGTTCTCCGTCGCGGAGCGATGATAAGAGTCCACAACTCTGATGACGCACAGGCATGCAAATTCAACCAGCCTCTGGTCAGAATAGCCAATGCAATTGCGAATAATGGGCCAGACGCCAAGAATCATCTGGAAATGATCCGGCGAGATATTTCTGCAACAATTCGCAGCAGCTTGCAGCGCAGTCCTTTGTACAGCGATGGAGAAGAAGTCGAGATAGTTCAGCAGTGCCGCTAAACCATTTTCTCGTACGATGGAGCTAGGGAACTCTTCGGATATTTTTTCCAGTGTCTGAAACACAATTTAGGGAGAATGTGGCATTGCAGCTGATGGACTCACGCTCAGAGTCTGTTCTGCGAGATCAATATAAGATATCTCAATCAACTTGCTGCAAAGGACCGGTATTGCGCCGTGATAGACAACGGAGTGGGCTACACCAGGCAGAGCCTCCATCAGATTTGCCAGGCAACGACATGCCAGCATCTGCGCTTCGAGATTCTCATCGCCCTGATATGTTCCACCCCCGCTCATCGCCAATGCAGCAGCTAGAGCTGCGTCCTCGTCATGATCATCGCCATCATCACCGCCGTCGTCGTCTTCGTCTTCATCTGCGCCACGCCCACCAAGGATCTTCACGAGTTCCCTTACAAACTGTTCCACTTGGAACGAGCCTGCTAAAGTATCTTCCGTGCTTATGCTGAGGAGCTCACTAAGCTCCTGCAGTGTCACCAAGCGAGTGGTTGGGCTCGCAGTTGATTTGATATTATTCAACATGGTCTTGAGTCGACTTGAAAGGGAAACCATGTATGATCCAAATTGGCGATAATCTCCAAAAATTGCCATCGCAGCAGATTCGTCTAGGCCAGCAAATCCACGAGTAGCACCAACTGGTAAGCGTCCTTCTTCATCCCCGTTGTCGTCGCCTTCGCCATCACCACCGTTATCTTGGTCATCCATGGCGACGTCATCGTCATCACAGCCGTCAGGGTGTTCTTCATAGGCAGGTTCATCGGGCCTAACTATCGTAGTATCAAGCATCGCAACGTCTTCGTCAGCCATTTTCGAAGAGCCTGCAGAAGCGCCAACTTTGCTTTTCGTCGCTGCTTTCGCCTTACTCGGTGATGACCTGTAACGTAACATGTGAGCAAATCCAGGGCGAGAGAGGCTGAATACAAACTTGGGTTTTCTAGGCATGGGTGCGGAGGCAGAGGTTGAGGCGTCTGTTCTTGATCTCAAGGAATATGCTGTAGTTCTTGTGCGCTTAGAAGATAAGGTAGTACTCTGCCCCTCTTCTTCTGAATCCGGTTCTGGAGCGGCGCGCTTCTTGCCTTTGCGGTCTTTTGTTGGTTCGGTAATTGCAAGTGATGGGACGGATGTAGAGGGAAGTGTCGCTCGATGTGCTCTGCTGTCAGGACGTCAGTTAAATATAACTATGGGTGCGGGAACATGTTCGCCGCACCTCTTGCTCACGCGGGCAGTTTCTTCTGACGATTCTTTAAACTTTCCGTTTCCTGAACTACCTTCTCGAGTACGCTTGTTCTTGGCCTGGGTTGTTGACCTAGTTTCACGGGTGCTCTCTGATGGCACTGCTATGTATTGCTCTGCTGAGTCACCTTCCCTATCTTTCGCCTGCTCGCGTTCCTTCTCCTTTTGCTTGGCTGCTTTTACTCTTGCGCTAGAACGTATTGGCTTGAAATCTATAGTCGATACCGACGCCGATGTGGATGGAAAGTGAGCTTGTTCTGATTCTAGTGGCTGCAAGGATACACTGGAGCTTGTGGCTTCTTGCTGATAGATTGGTTGATAGTCCATTAGAACATGCTCCCAGCCATCGATTCTGAAGTTCTGCTAGATGTTGGGAAGCTAGTGGTCAATAAGAAAGAAACGATGCGTCGACGCAATGTTAAAGCCGGTGCTCGAATTCGGGTAGATGCCGCCTGGAGAAGGCGTGCGAAAGCGATGGTGGCGTAACCTTGCGGGATGCCCCGATCACCGAGGGCTTGGGGTTACTACGCAAGGATGCTTACTGCATTCACAAAATTTGATGCTATGTACAGGAGTGATCGATATTTATGCAAAATTTTCTGTTAACACTTCCTCAATGCTCTTTACGAAAATATCCACAATCTTCTCTATCTCTTCGGTGGTTGCATTGTACGCAGGGCCGAGCATGAGGTGGTCCCCCTTTGATCCATCGAGCGAGGAGCCACCGACCATGCCCATCGCAATAAGTCCATTCTCAAGACAGCGCGCCTGCACCGCCATTGCAAATTGTTGGTCCTTCATATCAACACGGCGTGCCTCGAGGCTGGAGAAGTCGAATTCGACCCCAAAGAAAGCCCCAGCCCCGCGCACATCGAATGTATATGGCGCTGCGAGAGCATTTGGGGACTGTAGGCGGTCTTTCAGCAGCGCAATCATGTGTACGCCGTTCTTCCTGCACTGCACAAGGAGATCCTCTTCAATTATGACCTTCTGCACAGCTAAAGATGCTGCACATGCTAGTGGATTTGCCTGTCAAGAATAAATGTTAATAACCGGCTCTTCGATAAGCTTACAGTACCGACCTGATATGTGTGACCGTGTTTTATCAGTCCGGAACTCCCCCTGATCCCTTTCGCAACTTTAGGCGAGATGAGAACAGCACCTATGGCAGCGTAACTGTGGCCCAATCAGTAACATTAAAAGAGAAGGGATGTGTAACACTCGCCCACCACCCAAACCCTTGGCTACTGCCTGCAGGTCAGGTGCAGCACCATCACCGAAGCTCTGCCAAGCGTGCATGGTGCCCATTCCTGGCGAACCCCACCATCAATGGTGGTCAAGATCAACATATCGAGATCACTTACGGCCCATGCCAGACATTACCTCATCGAGCATGAAAAGGGCATCATATTTGTGACAGACTGATTTCATGGCGTTGAAGTATCCCTTTGGTGCACTCACAACCCCTGTTGTCGCACCAACGACAGTCTCCGCGACGACTACCGATCATCAGATTTTGAAGGAGTAAATCATGGCGACAATGACGTACAGCCGATTACCGTCTCGGGACCGAGTTCAATAAACTTGTCCTCGAGTTCTTGTCGGAGTCGCTCGACGTACTGCTCCTCCGTCTCATCTGGTTTTTGGAACCTCTTTGCAAACGCTGGGGAAACGTGGTGGAAATTCTGGTGGTCTAAAATAGCCTCATACGGCGCACGGCGGCCAGGATGGTATGCAAGGGACAGATTACTTAGGGTATTTCCATGGAAGGACAGTTGACGGGCAATGTAGTTCGTCCGTTTCGGCTGCCCGACCTCGACATAATACTGCATTTTTGTTCATGAACCCTTGGCCTACGCCTCCACAATACCAACATACCTGTCTCGAGAGTTTGACAACAGTCTCCATCGCTTCAGAACCTAAATTGGTAGCGGTCAGTAAGGTTCAAGCAGAGTTCTATGGCAATACCTCCAGATAAGAATGCGACCTGCTCAAAGGCACCATTGCTGGTATCCACGAGCAGTTTAGCCAGCTCCTCTGCAGGAGGGCTGGAAAGCTGCATATTGTATACATCTATTCATGATCAGTCACTCGTGTTAAGGAGTGAAGAGAAAGACATTACATGACATGACATCGATCTGATCTTTTAGGGCTTTGACTACCTTGGGATGGTTTCCGCCGATGCAAGTCACAGCGGCACCGCCGATCCCATCGATGACACGTCGGCCATCCTCCAAATCGATGTAAACACCATCAGTGGCGATGGCGATGGGAGGTGTCCATGGCGTTCTATGTAAAATAGATGTAGGACGAGCGCTCATGTTGTAAGTCGAGGGATCGATAATCTTGATATGAGCTCGAGTCTACGAAAGCCAGAGCACGAACCTGGACGGGTGGTTACTATAAGAGCGGTATCGTAAATGAAAACAACCCCACAAAAACCGATACCCTGATGAGCCTGGCCCTGTCTAAAGGAGTAACGGCTCTCCTTCGACTAGCCGAACTTGATCTAGATTAAGACTCCAAGTCGGTTAACATATTATAATATCAGGCCTAGCTAGCCCTGCTGCTGGAATAATATCGTGTTCACGATAAATCGCTTTCGGTTTCATACGTAGTGCCGATGGAGTCCGAATCAGCAGACTCGGAGTTGCGTCAAACGCCGATCACCAATTTGGGATCCAGACTTACTTTGTTCAAACTTTGTTCTGTCTCACTCCTTTTACACAAGTAATCTCTGCACTTTTTTTTGGGATCAATGCATGGCTCCCTTGAGCAAGAAACGCAAGGAACCTTTACAATCTCGCACTATCGTTGATTTCTTCTCAAATAACGCGTCTACAAAGAAAAGCAAGCTTCAAAACCCCCTTCCCAAAACGAACAAGAAGAACTCCAAAGCTTCCTTATCTCAGGATATCATCATTATAGATTCAGACAGTGACGATTGTACAGCGAAAAGAGACAACGGGAAGACGCGAGCAATCCCATGTGCTCAGAAACAACACGCTTCTCCGGAAGGGGAAAAGGGGAACCTACGTGGTTCTCATGAATGCGAGTGGAAGCCATCTCTCACACGTGTCGCTTTGTCAAATCATGAAGAACCTCATGAGGATAAACTCCCCACATTTGGAAAGCCCGCTTTATTGCAAGTTCCCGTTCAGAGCAGCATGAACACTGTAGAAAGGAAGGAGACTTTACTCCAGTCGTCGGTCATTAAAGCCACTTCCAGCATCTCTACCTTCGGTGTTCCAACTTTGTTACTCCGGTCCTCAGTCGAGCCAACTCATGAGCTCCTTCTTGAAGGAAATGCATCCGCAGAAGTTGGTATCCCCAAACCCTACAAGGATCATGGAAATATACCACATTCTATTGATGTGGTAGATGTCGATTTTACAGGTGATGATGAGCAATGGGGTGTTGGAGACGATGAGCTGGCCATCATCAAAGCCGCTAATGATGACATTCAGATGGAGGATGTCTCAGAACAACTCAATGACTGCGTCCATCCTGCCAGTTGCCCTGTCTGCGAGCTCGACATATCACGTTTACTTGGCTTGGTTGGTGACATGACCACGCTGCAGATGTAACCCCTCTGATGCACATTTTAGGAGAGACAACATCATGTCAATAAATGTCTCGACTCCACCGTTAGTTCCTCAAGCGCAAATGCAATCATAAATTCAGACTTGGATGCCACATGCGAGCCAAGTACGAGTAGACTCGAAGATGTCCACAACACCGACTTGTATGCCGTCCTGATGACATCCTATAAGGAAAATGAAGCTTGGAAGGAGGCAGATCTCGCAGAGGACCGTAGTTTTCGATCATCTCGAGCACAGGGCAGCCGGAGAAAGGCGCCATTTTACAAAGTTCTGCAGGGAATGCCCATCGCCGTTGATGCGTTCCGCTATGGAACCATACCAGGCGTCGCCGCCTACTTTTTAACGTGTGTATCCCAAACTGATACGCCGTCACAGCCTTCACACGATTTTTAGTCATGCTCATTCCGATCATTATACCAACCTCGCTTCAAATTGGAAAAGCGGGCCGATTTATTGTTCAGGTATTGTTCATCCTGGCTTTTCAGTTGAACATGAATATTGAAAGTGTAACTAGGGGACACAGCTAATTTAATTATATATATGTTGTCGGTTGATCCCAAGTGGGTTCATCCACTCCCGATGGATGTCCCTACAATTGTTCCCAACTCCGGCGGGGTCACTGTCACACTTATTGAAGCTAACCATTGCCCGGGATCGTGCCTATTTTTATTTGAGGGTCCACAGACTGTGCACGCGGGTGACAGCGCCTTCAAATCGCCATTTGTTGGTTCCGGGAAGACTTTCCGATATTTGCATTGTGGAGACTTCAGAGCTTCGCCTCAGCATGTAATGCACCCTGCGGTGAGAGGAAAACAAATTGACCATGTGTATCTAGACACGACCTACCTAGACTCGAAGGTTAGTCAAGTTAGCTTGACGAGGCAATAACACTTACTGTGTATCAGTATACCTTTCCTCCACAGCCGCTGGTCATCTCAGCCTGCGCAGAGCTGGCCAAAAGAATCGTTTCTGGGGAGTGGATAGGAGCTCCAGACACGAATGGAAAACGCAACTCGACTATGGACGCTTGGGTCATTCCTTCAGATAGGGCAGACGATACCATTATGAAAACACTCAAAGATAGGATGTTGGTGGTTGTCGGGTAAGTTAGTTATGGTATAAATCCAGCTTAGTCATTGATCCACTCTTGTGTAGTACCTACTCCATTGGTAAAGAACGCATTGTTAAGGGTGAGTATCGTGTGGACCGTATCTGGCTCGCTCAATTGTTTCTAGCTATCGCACAAGCTCTCAAGACCAAAATTTACTGCGATGCGCGCAAGGCTGCCATCCTACGATGTCAAAATGACCCTGAGTTGCATGCGCTGTTGACCGAGGACCCAAACGAAGCTGGCGTGCATGTTGTTCCGTTGGGCATGATCGTTTCAGACAAGCTCGAGGCATATGTGCAACGGTTCAAGGGGACATACTCCCGGGTGGTTGGTTTCAGGCCCACAGGATGGACGTGAGCATTTGCCATTCCCCATACACTCATCCATCGATTGATAACGCCTACTGCAGTTACACACCACCGTCAGGCAGCGATCTCAGTCCACCTATCTCATCCATCATATCACGCGGGCAGTCACGGCCCTTCACACATGCAGACCTGAAACCCATGCAAAAGTCGACATTCGCTGTGCAGATGTACGGCGTGCCGTATTCAGAGCACAGTTCATTTTTTGAGCTTACGTGCTTTGCAATGTCGTGTGATTGGCTAAAGATAATTGCGACTGTGAATGTTGGGAATGAAAGATCCAGAGCGAAGATGGCAAAATGGGTGCAACGCTGGGAAGTTGACAAGAAGCAGAGTAAGGAGGCCATGGTAAAACCTAGAGCTGCTGATTACTGGTGATTTTCGCTCCCTTTACACTGCCGTGCTGGTGGAATGTTTAGTGAACTCAACTGAGACGTAGGGAGTGCAGATGAATCATATATTCATAACCACCTTGTGAGTATCTGCATTTTTGCGTGATGATCGGCCATACACATGGGGCATAAAGTGAAGGAAATGCTGCAAAAGAAATCAATAGACCTTCCGCGACAATATCTATTGTTCGGCAGAAGCCCGCTGTCTCCTCCTGAGATCTCTCTCCTCCGAGATGGTAAGCTTCGTACCCTTGCCCTTGGGTAGTGATATCCAGGGCTTTGAACCATCACCGATGACGAAGATGTTGGAAATACTAATCAAAAACATTAGATTTTTATGTTGGCTTATGGGAGGCACTCACCGGGTGGCGAACGTCCTGTCCAAAGAATCTTTGACATGCACGATATCGAAACCACCAATGTGCTTCTCGCGGTGTGTGATGACACCAGCGCGACCCATGTTACGCCCGCCAGTAATCATCACGATGTTTCCGGTATCAAAGTGAACGAATTCGGTTATTTTTCCCGACTCAAGGTCAAACTTGAGAGTGTCGTTGACCTTGATGGCAGGGTCAGGATAACGGATGGTGCGGCCGTCATGAGTGACGACATGGGGAACACCCTTAGCACCAAGAGCGACCTTGCGGACTTTGAGGAGCTTGTAAGAGGCTTCCTCAGCAGTGATGCGGTGGATGGTGAAACGACCCTTGACATCATAGAGGAGACGGAAGTGTTCCCCGGACTTCTCGATAGAGATGGTGTCTAACCAGCGGAAAGAATGAGATCAAATGAATAAACCAAGAAGAAGAAAGCTTGTTTACCCATGAAGCCAGTAGGATAGGTAGTGTCCGTGCGCACTTTGCCATCGACCTTGATCAATCGCTGTTTGACGATCGAGGTAACTTCACGGCCGTTCAGTGCATACTTCAACCTGTTGCGAAGGAAAATGGTGAGGGGAAGCGATTCACGGAGCTTGTGGGGACCAGGAGAAGGACGGGGAGCCTGGGGTATAATTCTAGTGCTTTAGAACAAGGACATCCAAAAGATCTGGGATGCACGCACGTAAGTACCGCTCAACTTGTCCAACATCCATGAGGAGGGTGCAGCAAGGCGCTTCAAGTGTTTTTTCGGTCCGCGTGCCTACGGATGACAAGGGAGAGTCAGCTGTGATTTTGAGCATATCAAGCGGCGAGAAGAGCAAGATTTGCGAGTCAATTATCCTGGTACATCCATCTCTAAATTATCACATCCACCCATTCCAACATCGATGATCGCGTAAAACCGTATTCATGGCTACCACGGGGTCCGTAAGAGGTGCTCAGGACGAGAAAACTGACCATGATGAAAGTCTTGAGGAGCGAACGGCGTCGGCGGCGACAATACTGATTTCGGTGCCTTCGTCTGACTGACTCAACACGTCCACTGAGCTCAGAAGTTTAGGGTGGGTAAATAAAAATCACGTGATTTATCGATCTCGCGACCTCCATATAGATTATGTAATATTATTACTGTCCAGCGTCACGAGCTTTCAAAATTTCATTATCAAGTACTGCGTGTAACGATCAAGGGACGACAGTCTTGTAATACTACTTACACTACCTTTTACTCCTACACCATTGACATTCTTTCAAACTCAATTCGATACGATAAGAACTTCAATTTGAGGCTAATCTTGAGCATGTGCCATGAAGCTGAACAGTCCATTATTGTTTCCTCACACTGGAACTCTGGCTCGGGTTGGTCCTCCTTAGGAGGCTCCATCGGATAAGAGCAGGAAGTCGGTGTTGTCGGCTTATGGCCTTGCGGTGCAGTCCGTTTTGATTAGGTTGCCATACATTGGACATACTGATTGTATGAAACATTGGCTATAGGTGCAAGTAGTACCGCACGAAGGTCTCTATCTAGTCCCTCTTCAAGTATTTGCTAATGGTGAACGCTTGAGCTGCAGTGAAGTTTGATCTCGCCTGCCACGTCGGTCTAGCGGCGCGATTACGTACTGGGAGAAGATGCCAGCTAATGGACCAAACCTATAAACCAAAAAACGGACGAATTGTGGAAGAATATACCAAAAAGGTGTGGCGACATATAGAAACGCAAATACACTTACTAATAAGATTGACAATGCATTGACTACCGGGATACGCCGTTTCTTCGATCTAAAGATGCCCACTTCGATGCAACTTGAGCTTGAAAGTCTAACCATCAGTGACGGTGTGTCCTACTATTACTTTGATAGCGGCGATGTCCCTGGAAAGACCTATACAACCTTAGTCTTCGTGCCTGGCTTGGGTTTCAATGGAGGTGTGATTTAGATAGTGCTGCGTAACGTCCTGCCGACTTATTCTTCATGCAGGTGTTTTCAGGAAGCTTTTCCCTCTAGCTGCTGCACACCGTCTCCGCATAGTCAGCATATACAGGCGTGATTATAGTCCCACTACCAGCTTCCTTGATACAGACTTGGCTGGTCTCATGTCCCGTACAGTGGAGGGACAGGAAAGTTTCCTTCGCACTCAAGCGGTCGATATCGCTACTTTCCTTGTCAATTTTGCCCGCAAGCAACATATTCCCCTGGTGGAGGGTACCAGCGGTGGAATTGTCTTGGTGGGGTGGTCTTTAGGATCACTGCACGCGCATGCTGTTGTGGCCCATCTTGATGCCTTGCCACTTAGTGTTCTGTCTGACCTTGAACAATATCTTCATACTGTGGTCTGTCACGGTAGGCACATTATGTCTTCTAACAATTATGGAATGATGAACGGTGCTATAGATACAAGTGGTGTTTTCATTGGTATACCGAAGCCCCCAGGCTTCAATGTGGAACTTTGGTCCGAGACCAATGTCGAGAAGAGGTTCAAGCTTTTCTATGAATGGGTGGCAGGACACTTCCCACACAAGAATGTCACCTCAGGAAGCATTGATGACCTCGAGTTCTACAAATCCCCAGACAAAGCTCACTCCATGAACGAGCTATCTCCTCAGGAGTTCGCAGTGCTCACATCTACCAAGACTTTCGGTACTTCCGATGCACTCATGGTATCTATTCAACTAGACGTATTCAAGGCCACGACACGACGTGCAATCTTCGACACAACCTTGGCGGAGAAGTTCATGCCCAACCTACGTGTCAGGTACATGTGTGGTGGAGCGAGTCCTGGTGTTATTATCTGGGCGTTACATGAATTTAGGAAGTGTTTGGCTGACCCCAAGCCAATTTATGGGCCTGATGCCGAAAAGGCACGAGATGTAAAGTTCAAATTCCAGACTGAGGGGAACCACTTCATTTTTTGGGATGAACCAGAGGTTGCCGTCGAACAATACATCGCTACCATCAACCTTTAGAAATAATGGTCCCAGTTGGCTGCAGAATGGTCAATTATTCTTGACATGCGGTGTATATCATTCTAAGTTACTCAGCCCAGCCTGTCACGCGCCAAATAAAGCCAAACCGAATTGCGGCCGTGCGGGCGTATCCTTGACCTAAACTTGAGTTCAACCTGTTATCCCGCCAAAGACGTCGGTAGTGTCTACTGCGGCAGTGCTCATTTTTTCTACTTCTTCTAGATCTAAGACAATCACCCTAGGCTAGATTCTTCAACACATTCGATAACCCATGCTTGACCACCAGCTGCCTCCCAAACTAGCTTATAATAACTACTCATCAGATAATGCTTTCGATAACCAACACCTCAACTCTGGCGAAGGCTGGCAGGCCACCTTCCTAGGCGAGAAACCTCTAGCATCTGCCCTGGATGGAGGAATTCCCTATGCAAGACAATCATCCTTGCGCCTGGCACCAGATGCAAGCCTGGCGAGATTTAGAAAGTTCTTGTCTCGTTATTCCATTTTCTCCGCCTTACCATCTGCATCGTCGAATTCGCGGCGATCTATTGGCCCTCTCACAACACCTTCCCCATCTTCTGCCGTATTAATGTCTCGATTTATCCTTCTGTGCAGTTTCTGGTACGCTACATCTGCACTTTCGTCAAATACTGGCAAGACTATCCTCAATCAATGGAATCACCCTGTCACCCTCACAATTGTACAATTTGCATTCGTCGCGGGGTACTGCCTACTCTTCATGTCGCCAGTCATCCAATTTACAAAATTGCGTCCGCCAACTGGCGCCATTTTGCGAAGCACCCTGCCCATGGGCATGTTCCAAGTTGGTGGTCATATGTTCTCTAGCATTGCAATTTCCAAAATACCCGTCAGCACCGTTCATACTATCAAGGTATGCTGGACCATTGGTTCCTTATTTTTAAGTGATGAACGTGCTTTCAGGCTCTATCTCCACTGTTCACCGTTGCCGCTTACGCCATGCTTTTCGGCGTCAAGTACTCTCCAAGGACGTACTTCTCTCTACTGCCCCTGATCATTGGTGTCATGCTGGCATGTACGTTCGAGTCCGCTTCAAATCCGACAGGTCTCATTTGCGCATTTGGTTCTGCCCTTGTGTTCGTCAGTTCCAATATCTTCTTTAAGAAGATTATGCCATCAGGATCACAGACATCGTCAAACAAGTTAGACAAACTCAACTTGTTATTTTATTCTTCGGCCATGGCATTCGCATTGATGATCCCGATTTGGTGCTTCACCGATCTTCCCCTTCTCGCTGCTGACTCTGTTCATGTCACGCACCCGGCTCGTGGACATGAGGCTCCTCATTCCATCCCGTATTATTTCTTCATGAACGGCACCGTCCACTTTGCGCAGAACATCATCGCATTTGTGATCCTTTCCAGTACATCTCCTGTGACGTACTCTATCGCCTCCCTTATCAAGCGCGTCGCTGTCATCTGTATCGCCATAGTGTGGTTCAACCAAAACGTACACCCCATGCAGGGTCTCGGTATTGGGATGACCTTTCTCGGTTTATACCTGTATAACACGGCGAAGAGTGATGTTGAGCGAGGGGAGAATAGGATGCGCAGGGTAGAGGCGACGCGGGACATGATGCTCCCCATCAATCGGATAGAGGAGAAGCTATTGAATGGGAGCTCGCCATCATCCCCCGTCCCTGGTGCGCTGGGGCTTCCGGTGGCCGCAGCTACAGGAATGGGGGCACACTCTGCTGCCGGCCGACCTCGGGTGCAGATCTCTACAAATGCACATTTACACCCAGATTCATATGGGAACGGGCATGGGCATCCTAATCAGATTCCTTCACAGGACCCTTTGTCCGTCTTTTCAAAGCGAAATACCATTTCGCCTACAGAACCATACCCGTCACCGCCTCCCTCCCTAGACTCGCCAACTTCCAATACGGTCCCTATTGGATATCAGCTCCCGCGTATACAGCAGCATTTCGGGATGGAGTCGTTCACTGTGGGACACGTTACTGCTTAACAGAACTTAGTATCTCTATCCATATTTATTCTCGAGGACTGTTACCTTTTGATTAATGTAGACAGCGTTACCAACAGTCTCTACATGACATTAGACTATATAGCGCTCATTTTGTTCAAATGACGATGTGGATATGTACATACGTGTTTCTAGGCTCTAGCTACTGATCACCATTTGCGTAAGTCCCGTTTGATCTGAAGTCCTTATTCAGACATAATAGTCATACCCACGTTTGAAGCTTGAGCTCGACACCCTCTTACACTTGAGTAGACATGACTCTGATCATTGATAGTGAGACAGTTTCGGCAGCAGCAACTGCCCCGGAATCCACAGTCGAGTATAGTGCTCTGCCAGCAACAACAACAACAGAGGCACCTCAACCAGGCGTGACGCCCACTGTGCTGGAGGATACGCCACGCCCAGAACCAACATCTGTTCTGAACGTGCCCAGTGCTGTTGAGGCTATGCTAGAAGACGACAAGGAACCACAGAATCCATTGACGGAGAAGTTTACTGAGGCCGAGTGGAAGGCCTTAAAGGAATTCCGCGTGAGTTAATCAAGACCATTCATCCACTTTAGAGATGGTGTTCAATTGTAACGTCAACCTGTATTTGTAAATTACAGTCTACTTTGCCTGAAACATTCAAAGAGGCATTTCCAGAGCAGGATGGTGCTGGGTCAACATCATATAACTTGTGGGGTGTCACCATCAGCCCACTGAAACCCAAGGATGCCCGCGTCAGCGTCGTGTTAATGAAGTTCCTTCGTGCCAGGTGCGATTCATTTTATTGGACTAGAAGCTATCATGAACATCAACTGGACAGGAATCTCAATCCTGCGGAGGCCAAGGACATGTTCATCTCTACTTTGCAATGGCGCAACTCTTTCAAGGTCGATGACGTTATGAAGGAAAAGTTTCCAGAAGACATATTTGGAAAGCTTGGAATAACATATGGAAAGGACAAGGACGGACATCCCATCGCGTATGTCTATCATGTACCTTTTGAGAAGTCCGAGTCTCGTTCTGACTCGATTTCTGAAGGTACAATCTATACGGCGCCAATAAGGATCTGGATGCCGTCTTCGGTGATACACAACGCTTTCTAAGGTATACACACATCATCATCACTCTCATGGTGTCGTCCCTGACCTCTCTCTAGATGGCGTGTTGCTTTTATGGAGGAAAGTATAGCCCTGCTTGACTTTGAAACTGTTGACCAAATGGTCCAGATCCACGGTATGTATCTTGGTAGTCAATGTGATGTGTTCGCTAAGCTTTCATTCAATGTCACCAGACTACGAAGGCGTAAGCATGTCGGATAGAACACAGGCCTCCAAGAATGCAGCATCCGAAGCATCCAGTATATTCCAGGGCCACTATCCCGAGTTCCTGGTTCGTATTTCTGTCTCCACTGGCTCCCGAATGTAATATATTCTATTCACAGGCGAGAAAGTTCTTTGTCAACGTGCCTAGCTTTCTTACTTGGATTTTTTGGATATTCAAGCCATTCCTGTCAGCTGCAACAGTGGCGAAGATGAGTGTTGTTGGTTCTGGTCCCAAGGTCATCGGAACCGCTCTTCTACCTCTGATCCCTGCCGACCAGTTGCCAAAGAGGTACGGTGGGGACGCTGACGGATTCTGACCAAGAGAGTGAGTTTATGAACGCGTGTGTATGATTTGAATATGCTTCTGCAATCGAAAATCCCCATTCCCAGCTACACTGTATCATATCTCATATATCCCGCTCAGATATCAGCTCTAGTGTTTTCCGATGAGACCTACGTATATTCCGCGAGCCTAAGTAATTCGTACATTGTTCCTTTATTGTGCCCTATGCATATATCCCTCCAATCCAGACTACGAAGACTACATAGATGAGGGGCAAATGGGCAAAGCAAGGAAAGAAGTGGGGCAGTAGTATAAGTACAACATTGCGGATGCGATATTTTTTGACCATTGCTGCGGCTTCCAAAAGACAAGAAAAGATATCGAAAAGTTAAAGACCAAAAAAATGCAGGATGCGCCGAGTAATGAAAAGATTGATTATCGAGAGCGCGGCGTGCAGTGAGGTGCGTCAGCTTATTCACCGCCCCCAATACTACTACCGCTAGCGGTGGTTGCGGCATATTCGTGCTTGACAGGGTCCCAAGCATCAATCCAACTCGGAGGACGTCCACCTGGCGCCCACTTGGCAAAGCGCGAATGCGCTGGACGCAGGTTAGGATTACTGAGTGAAGAGTGGTCAACATTCAATCGTTGCAAGTAATGCTTTAGAGAAGTCTTACTTTGCGCTCAGCGTTGGGCCCAATGCCAGTCGCGCAAAATTGCTGGGGAACAGCGGATTTCCTGGACCGCGATCTCCAACAGGATCATACAAGCGCTCGCTATCGTTGTCTCCGAAGTCAGATCCGGCTGAGTTGTGGATGTAACTGTGAGAACGAGGGAGGGTTAGTAAGTGTGTCATGAGAACCACAGAAATACCGACCTGAACGTGGGTCGTCCAAGGCTACTGACCGAGCCATGCGAACTCGTACGAGAAACGCGCCTAGTAAGGGGAAAGGTAAACTCCGACGACCATTTAAGCTCCGTGCTGTTGCGTCTTGAGTCATTTGAATTCATGACCGGGCTAGTAGGATGTGAAAATGGTTGTGATACAAAAGCAGGGGAAGACGGCACAGATGAAGTGGAAATGCGTAACCCATGAATCTGCAAAGAATCTTCGACAGGTTGAGAGTCCTTTTCGGGCGCTTCTGTGTCTGCGCCGTCCTCGTCTTCTGCCTCCTCACCAATGTCCTGCAGCCCATCTCCCTGTCCAAGAGAAGTAGACTGTGACAAGTTTGATGGGAGGCTAAGCGGGGGTGGATTAGCTGAACCACAAGTGGAGACGTTCCCGTTTGAGGGTGTCGCGAGTATGGGCTCAATCAGCAAGTGAGTTGGGAGTTGAGATTGGGTCCTCTCGCGGGGATGAGGGCATAGAATCATGTTGAGTCGATTGGACGTCGCTAGGCAGAAAAGGTGTAGTGTGCGTGTCTGACTCTCCCAAGCCTTCGACCGCACCGTCTGTATCCAATATTGCCGGAATAGGAGAGACAGAGACGCGCGGCGGGTGATCGTCCACTGCAATCACGCTCTCCGTATCATATTCTCCGTCAACCTCAAGCTCGGGAGGGACGCCAAGAGCCCCCTTCAGACGCTCCCAGATGAGCTCTGAATGTGAAAGAACACATCTGCGCGCATTGCACACCCAGAGGGCGTCACTGGCTGTTTGTCTATCAACATTGGTTAGCCAGAAGCGCAAAGTCCCGAAGGACCATGTCGCAGGATCAGCAGAGAATGTAGAATCGTTAACATTTTCTGGGCCTTGTGTCCTGGGAAATGTCTGAGCGAGGAGGGAAAGAAGTTTGGTTGTAGGATGAGTTGATAGTAATTGGGTCACTTCGATGGGACGATCAATGAAAGGAAGGTAAATGTCATCGGGTAACGGGGTGAATGTCGCAGGTGCCGTTATTGCACCAGCGGCATGATTCACCGGACTTGTGAGTGCGGGAAGATGAGGAGTGCTAGGGGTAGATGCAGGCGGAGGGACATAACGAGGGCTAGTTGATTGACGAGCAAGGTCTACAAGCTGTTCTGGGGACAAATTTGGTTTAGAGAATGGGGTTGAACCTGACGCAGATTGTCTCCGGGTGAACTGCGGTGAACTAGAGCGTAGACGGGGGGAAGTAGACGGGCTAGAGGCCCGTCGGCTAGGAGAAGTAGCGACGGCTGGTGCAGACGCAGAAGAGGATGGTGAAGCTGAAGAGTTTGGAGCGAAAGATGAGAATGCAAAGCTGAGTCTACCAGCTGATGATCCGTCTGCATTCGTCGAAGAGGATATACTCCCAGGATGACGTAGTGAACGTCGGTGAAGCACTGGCGCGGACGATTCTGAAAGATTACTCGGAGTGGTCCCAGTACCTTGCGATGCGCCTGCTTGCGAATTGGGATCCAGGACGCGAACGATAGTCAAAGTCGATGACGATGATCGATTAGGATCATGATTGAGGGGAGCATGATGTCCAAACGGATCTGACGCACTGACAGATCCTCGTCGAACAGATAGTTTTCGCTGCGGCTGGGACATGGTCGTTTCAAGCTACAGAGCTGAGAGAGCTCACGGGTCGTTTACCCTAGTACTTGTGAAGCTCTTTATAAATGGTGGGACACGGGGCAAGAAAGTTGAAATAATCTAGTACATCTCGCTCCTTATGGTAATAAGGAACCAAATTTAATACGTCAGAGGTGACGCCGGAAACGCCCGTCTAGACCAAGTGGAGTCTAACGATATTCTACACCTGTAGCAAGCTAACCTCCGAGCTCGATGGCAAAGGCCACAGCCAATTTAGAAAATTCCAACATATGTGAGAAGCTAAACTCATCCGAGATATCAATCCGGCTGTAAGATTGGAATCAATATCCAGTCTCCACGATTTTATTTGATATACTAACTCGTTAGCGGTATGAATGTTCCTGTGATTTGAATTCTCAAAAGCCCCCTCTAACACCACAATCAGAATAAAGATGCAAGTAATGGAATATTATCTCACCAATGGTAAAGATACTAGGATATCCCGCTTTGCTCCAAGGAGCACTGTGATAGACGTAAGTAGCTGGACAACGAAGTATTAAGCATAACTCACTGGTCGGAACAAGCATATCCACATTTGGTTTCAACAAATGGTATGTCCAGATATTCAGTAATCAATTCTTTGTTGAACTCCGTCAAGCTAGTATTGCAGGTTAGAATACAACAAATGATCATGACAAAATATGCTCACGCTGAATCCACATAGTCTACAATTACACCAACTTCCTCAACTGTACCTCTCTTTACCCATGCTGTCATGTCATACTACCCATGTCAATTTACTATAATCAAGTTTAGACATCACCCCTACCTGGCTCATTGCGTAAACTTTCAAATCCTGGGCTTCATAGTGCTGAGCGATAGCTTGTGAACCAAGAAGACCACCCTCCTGAAAACTCAGAATCAGCAACACATACACGTCACGCATTCATATGACTCACTTCAGCGGAATACCAGTGGAACTCAACAGGCCGAATTGGGTGAAAATCAGATGCCAGGAGTGCACGGTATGATTCCAGGATGGTTACACTGCCCGACCCGTCATCATCAGCACCTTACTTGGAAATCAGCCAGCCAACTCAAAAGATATAGAATAAGCGCAAATTACCAGGGGCAGCAAGAAATGGCCACAAGTTTGTACTAGGAAAATAACATCAATTACGCAAACGTGACATCCAAAGACAACAATCACCTGTCTTGGTGAGCACCAAGAATGACAATCTGATCATTTGCTGCATCGGAACCGTTGATTCTGACGATCTAGCTAGCAATTTACCGACGAGAGAATCAAGTTCAATGATAGGCCTTACAATTGAATGTTGCCCCCAAGGATGATGGAACTCGTCGATGCTGATTAGAGACTTCAACGAAGGCGATGCGAAATCCGCGGTAACCTAATGACCAAACTTCGGCAATCAATCTAGCAATGTGCGGAGAACATACTTCATTGATCTTAGACAGTAGCCATTGTTGACTTTCCTTGCCTGTCTACATGGCAGCTGAATGTTTCAGGATGGACTATGCAGATTAGGAATTACCTCACTACGATAGTCTACGACACTGAGTCAGTGTACCGAAACACTTGGCGGATACAAGACCTACATCTCGTTCTAAAGCTGGAGAATTTCTCTAAGTTTGCCCTTGGACCCTCGGTAGACAGCGTCTTAATGACTTTGGTGACTTGTTCATGAGCGCTTAGCGGCGGGTATGAAGCTATGAAAAGGTAAGTTCCACGACTTTCACAGTCGACAGGTATACCTACTTTTCGTCGCGACGCGGAAGTCAGCAGACGAACCGAGATTGCGATTATCTGTGCTAGACGTGCAAACATAATTGAGAACTGACATTCAAACGAAGAAAATAATATAAGTACATGTCAAAGAAACGAAGCCCTTTGGCTTTAGCCTCGATCTGGATGACACGCGGTTAGAAAATGAAACTCGCAGTAGCTGTACAATGAGTTATCCTCACCTTCTCAAGTTCTGTCATCCATACCGGTTCCTGACCTTCTGATAGCTGAACTAGCCGGAGTTCATCCAGGTTTAGATTGAAACCGGGTTGAGGGTCAGAGGGCACGTCAAACACCTGGCCTTGCATAACAACCTGGCGGTTACTTCCTGCATCATAGAAGACTTGGTTGATAGGTTTAGAAAGTGTAATTCCGCTGAAAGAGAGCAGCAGGAGTAGTGAAGTCCTCATCTTAGTGGTGAAGCACGAAGGAACTAGAGACTCAGTAGGGCAATATTCCACTTAGTAATAGACTAAATATGTAACAGAGCACAACAAAGCATAACCTAACCAATCAAAACTCCTCCAAAGTTCGGAACGTTCAAACGTTCAACGTTCAACTGCCACTATTATGTAGTAAGATCTCCAAAATTACACTAGATGGTTACAAGTTACAACATACTTTTTAATGTTGTCGAGAATATCAAGTTCTCATACTCTTGGACAGGCTGATCAAGATAAATTCGCCTGTCATGTATTTCGGTAAGTTCCGCTCATATGTACTACGTTCACTCCGCTGGTTATATTCTCCGCTAGTTACCGTATGGGCCATGTTACATTGTCCACTCATTGTCCACTTATTGGAGATATGCCTCGAATCTCGACTTATATTACATAATGTCCGTTATGCCCAACGCCCCAGGAGCGCCATGATCCCACATCCAAAAAGCATGCATGAGATAGCATAGGCAACGTGTCTGTTAGACCCGTTAATCATCTCTTTGTTGAAGATAAACTCGTGAGCAAGAAGCTGCATAAAATGATGAGTGCTCGCGCTCTGGTCACGACACTAGAATTATAACATACCTCAACGAGGCCAGTGTACAACAGGATACCCGCGCTCAGTGAGTCGAGCACTCCACTCACGATGGAGGCGGTGGTACTGTTTGGGTTGTACGTGGTTTGAACGCCAAGCCCGACTGCAATGCCTAATGGTGTGGTGATTCCGTACAGCAGCGCGCCACATATGGCTACATAATTGTACTTCGAGGGAAGCTGTAAGTGAGCAAGACGAGTCCCGACTCCAAGGCCTTCGAAGGTTTCTGCGTATTATGTCAGTCCAACAGTGATTCATAGGATACTGAGATTGCTCACGGTGAAATATGATGACAACAAACAGGATTTTAAAGTCCGGGTCGACCGCCAGCGTCAGACCAATGAGCATACTTCACAAATAGTAAGCATGAATTAATCATTGGAGGTGGGTCAAGGGAGATCGCACCTATGCAATAATACGCCAAATTCTAGGATGAACACACCGATGATCTGCCCCGTGGCATCAAGATCCGGGTGCTCATGATCATGGGCAGATTCTAGATCTCCCTTGATCTTCTCAGAGTTTGAGTCGCCACCCGTTATTACACCTTCAGGTCCATGTGCAGCGTGCGCGCCGAGACCGTGACCGTGTGTATCTGTTTTGGAATAAGGGGAGCCTCGGCACGCGATTAATCTAAAACGCACCATGCCTCATACCGAGGGCCGCTAGTTTGGCTGTACCCCACCTGAAGGCCACCAGTTCAACGATAAATATAGAAAATATGCTGAGCAAGGCTAATGCGAGCGCGTAGGGCTGTGATACATGACATATACGTAAGTAATGATACTACTTCCAGAGACTTCTGACTTACATACTCCAGCCAAGCCGGTGACAGGCATGGTGATGAAAGCTCACTCATGGCGGGGCTGAGGAGATGAATAAAGGCTGTAGCTATCTGCGGAAATGTGAACAACAGATTCTAATGGACGAGTTGATGGAACGCACGATAACACCGGAACCAAAGTATTTGGCAAAGCTACGAGATGCAAATCAGAACGTTGCACGTATTCACGTTGAATAATTCATGGCTCACTCAAAGACGGCTTTGGGGACGTGAAGCCAGCTTGTCCGGTTAGCAAGCACTGGAAAAAGTGCACCGCTAGTCGATCCGACAAGGATGATGAAGATCGATGCGATCCGCAACTGTGCATATGTAGTCGCGCCTCCACCAGAACCGCAGTTTAGATCCGACATGATTTGAAGTGAGGCTGCGTTTCACGATCTTGGCGAGTCAGAGAGAAAAGGGAATGCTCTGGGAGGAATTTGGTGGTGCTTGTGAACATTAAATATCCCCTCTGATTTTCATGACCGGGAGGGTCCTCACTGCTCAGGGCTGTAACATGGACCCCCTGATTTGGGAATCTACACATGCCCTCACGTCGTCGTCCATTCGCCACCCTGTTTCTACTAGATAGTCCCACGAGTTCGCGCCTCGCGCATTGGCTCTAGCACACGCAATTCTGCACGAAATGCTTATGCATATTACATAAAAGTTCCTCCCAACACAATACACATTCATAATGGCTATGATTGATGTATTTTATTTTATTTCGAAGAGCTGACGAGGCACTTCTATATGTAGTACCTGAGTTACATCAGTAGCGTAGTCAGCCAATAAAACATCCATCGTTCATACACGTCTAAGTATTTTTTTAGTAAAAAACGAAGTGAAACTTTTGCTATGACCGAGTTATGGGTGTTCGAGGCTGGCTTTGTACATATTTGATTTTCTCAAAGGTCAGATCACCACGGAAAAAAATCTGGAATGCGATACATATGATGGTTATACGAATGTTAAAATAAATTTCTCCGGGGTCACATGCTTGTCAGAATCATCTGCTATGAATGAGATACGACCCAGACGTACTGCACGCATCTAAACTCCGCAGTGCCGAAATGCGGCAACAAATAAGTATTGCTGCCGTGCACGACTTTCAAGTGGTGCGGAGAGTGAAAAGGCATGGCGGCAGACGTGTGACATAGTGTGACATATTGCCGAAAACCACTGCGCGGTACGCCGGCAAGTCACCGCTGCACTCAACATGCCGATTTTTTTGAAAAAAAAACTAGCGGGTCTTGTACTTTCGATGTCAAACCATCCATCCGTCGAAAAATGATATCTTTATGTGGATGTGCTGTAGAGTTATAGATGTTTTCCCAAAAATGCATGAACAAAGTTTGGCGTGTACGATGGATGGAAGGGAACGTATGAAGTAGATCGTGCTACCAAAAAAACAGCTTTCTGCCGGCTGCATTAAGTGCACAAGGTTTATGCATAAATAAGACCGCATCTCATAATTTCACGGCGTCTACGGACCCCCACCCATTTTATTAGTATCGTGCATCTCCACATACCTGTCATGTATTTTTAGGAGTCATAACAGATCGAGCCTCCACGTTACTAAAGATACTCCGAGTCCTCAGCCGATAGCCCAAAACTTCAGCCGCTGGTTGTAATATCAGGTTTCGGCGCAGGCTTTGGCTGTGAAGCGTCAAGGTTCTTCCCTTGGAGACTAGGATTGCCCATTATTGATCGTGCCTCTGCTTTCAGGGCCTGCGCGTAATCTTGTAGTTCATTTGCAAGCGCGCGAAGGACAGGTTGAGGCGTCGAGAGGACTTGAGCGGCATAAAATTTAAGCTTCATCTGAATGTGACTAGGCACGCCAACTGAACGTGGGGCGAAAAGACCAGAGAGGTCTGACAGTGCGGCTAATAATGTAACAGACCGATGATCGCTTAATAAGTTGTTATCGGAAGATGTGGCGACCACTAATCTGGGTCTCGCTATGATGGACGAATCAACCAACAGTGCCGCCAAGGACTCGGCGCCCATGGTTCCCTTGAATAGGACTGAGTACCACCTCGGTGATTGATAATGAGAAAAAAACGTACAGGGTCAAAGCGTGACCACACGTCAGTGACAGCACTGCTCAACGTCGAGTACAGCACTTGTGACCGACGGGCTACCAAGAACGGGACAGCTTGCGAGATGATTCTTCGCGCCTCTGCTTCATCTGACGCATCATTTTCCGTAGAGGATAATGGTGAAACAGATAGATGACGGGTAGCAAACGCATAAGCAACACTATTACGATCAGGCGATCACCCAGTGATGACAGATTTTAAAGACTTACAGGACAGCACAAACATTGTATACCAGAGAGGGACTACTGGCCTGGCTTTTTACGAGCTTGGGCGGGAACTCCATCAGTGCAGGTTTTGATCCATATCGCATGCTCCCGCTCGAATTCGGAGATCCTTCCAAGGAAGCTTCCCACCATGGCTCCTGCCTCGCAGACTGCAATTCTTCACTAGACAGTAATTTTTGAGCCAATTGACTAGTTGGGTCCCTGAGCGCGTTGAAGAACTTGTCTATTTCTTCCTTGGTCATAAGTCTGAGTAATTCGTCGGATGATGCTGAAGCTAAACAGACTACGTTTGGTTATGGACTAGCCAACGAATCAGGATCACGCACAAATATCCACACCGGCAAATCTAGAGACAAGATCATTAGAGTCACTGTCAGATTCATCCTGGTCACGCAGCAAGCTGCTGTCTTCCTCCTGAGTTTGCTCTTCGAGGCGCTTCAGCAACTCGAGCATCTTTTGCCTCTCTTCATGTGTTTTCGAAGACTTCGTTTCAATGTTTGTCTGGATTTCTTTTCGATAAAATGTCTCCGAACATTGGTAGTGAGCCTGTACAAGTTGAACGCCTTGTTATTGAAAGTGGGTCATGTACCTACCTCTGAACGAAAACACGTCAGGTTGCAGTAAGACACGTTGCACCCCGGACATGTATACCTGGAAAACTGTCTACGACAGCTTCATAGAGAAATCAATAGGATTTGGAAAATAAGCTGTCAAGATAACATAGTTCAAATGCACGTACATGCCACACAAAACTTTGTCCATCCCCTCAGCGGAATTTGGGTCGTCTTCGCGGACTCGAATTTGTCCCACTTCGTTCATGATGGTCACGGTGGATCCTGCTGTAGATGTAGAACAGTCAGGGAGAAATGACGAGCATCTTCATTCCCAAGTGGCTGCAGCCTGGTACTAATCTACATGACTCGGCTTTTGTCGGGCCGCCGGGAACATACCTTTCTTGGGTAGTTTACCGCGAGTTTTGAAAACGCGGTCCACCACAACTCTGCAAGTAAGTATTGAGAGACCACGACCTTCAACCTTCATTTAGCAGCTATCTTCTACTGCAGGAAGACGAAGTCTCGAAGGAAAAAATGGTGGAAGCACGCTTGGTTGACTCTAAATCAACATTCTCGATTTTTGCTCATTTACTAGACGCCCGCATACTACGCGCCCTTGCAGACATGGGCTTCGCTCGTCCAACTCTCGTTCAAGCAAAAGCTTTGCCCATTGCTATGGAAGGCCGCGATATCCTTGCAAGAGCTCGGACAGGCAGTGGCAAAACCGCCGCATATTGTATGCCAGTCGTACAGAAAATTCTTAGTGCAAAATCTGTGGGTATACTATATTCAGATCATATATCAAGTACTCATCGACTCGTGCAAAAAGTCGTTGTCTGCCTCAGACGAAGCTTATCAAGTGACACGCGCTGTGATCCTTGTGCCCACTCGCGAATTGTCCGAACAGGTCACGGCATGTCTTCAAAGACTTCTTACTTATTGCGAGAAGGAGATTATCGTCATGAACTCTGCCACTGGTTCCTCTACACATCTGCAACGGTGAGATGGTTTCTGCTACTCATATGCTTTTGCTTATGACTGCATCCAGTGCACTTCTCGCAGATAAGCCAGACATCGTCATTTCAACTCCTTCTCGTGCCCTCGGGCTGCTTCAATCAAAGGTGTGTCATAGCCTCACATTACATGGAGTGTACCTCATATCGATCCAGACTTTGAACCTCTCTTCACTGGAATCCCTTGTTATCGATGAGGCTGATCTTATTTTGTCCTATGGGCACGATGAGGACGTTCGACAGATCTTTTCTGGAGCATATCTCCCAAATGTGTATCAGTCATTTTTGATGAGTGCAACCATGACAGATGATGTCGATGCGTTGAAAGGCTTGGCTCTTCGGAGTCCAGTGAGCTCACCAACTCACCAACTTTTGTCTTTGCTGATTGCTGTCTTCAGGCCATCCTGAAGCTGGAAGAAGATGAGGATGAAACCTTACTCCTCAGCCAATACTCTGTTCAGTCAGTCCTGCATTCAGTCATCACTTGTTGATTCTTATCCCTGTTTAGGTGCTCCGAGGTCGACAAATTCCTTCTCACATATGTCATCCTCAAACTCCGCCTCATAAAGGGCAAATGCATACTGTTCGTCAACGACGTCGACCGTTGCTACCGCTTGAAACTATTCTTGGAACAGTTCTCAATAAAATGCTGTGTGCTAAACTCTGAGCTTCCCCTTAATTCCAGGTTAGATAAAACTTGTGACATGTTTTCACGCTTAACATTTCATAGATACCATACGGTGCAGGAGTTTAACAAGGGTGTTTACGACTATATCATTGCGACTGATGAACACGGTGCTCATGCGGAGGCTGATTCTGACGATGAACCTGAGGAAGATAGACTTCAGGATGGTGTTGGCGACGAGTGCAGGTAACATTTGTTAGAGCTTTGATTGCTTCTTACGGCTTCTCAGTGACGCCGTCACAACGCGCGGAGACAAACTCGGACAAAGATACTCAACTCGAACCCGCGTCTAAAAAGCGGAAGCATCCCCAAAATGCTCCTCAACCTGGCCCCTCCAAGCCAAAGAAACAGAAGCGCCGTACGAAGTCGGACAGAGAGTATGGCGTTACCCGTGGAGTAGACTTTGTCGACGTTGCTTGTGTACTCAACTTCGATCTACCCACGTCATCTCGGTCATATACCCATCGCGTAGGACGCACGGCCCGCGCTGGTCGGGCAGGCATGTCATTATCCTATGTCGTCCCTGAAGATCAATGGGGTAAAAACAAGGTCGTCGGTGGCCTTGAAAGCGCGAAGAATGACGAGGCTGTATTTGCGAGGATTGAGAAAGAGCAGGCGGCACGTGGTTCCAAAATACAGGAGTACAAATTTGATATGAAACAAGTGGAGGCATTCCGATATCGAATGGACGACGCACTGCGGTCCGTAACAAGAAGCGCTATCAAAGAGGCTAGAATCAAGGAACTTAAAACTGAGATTATCAACTCAGAAAAACTCAAAGTAAGTACTCTGATCGATTTACTTCTGTGTTGCTCATGTACTGCACAGGCCCATTTTGAGGACAACCCACTCGATCTCGAATATCTACGCCATGACAAACCGCTACATCCCACCAGGGTCCAGGCTCATATGAAACATGTACCAAAATACTTACTTCCTCGTCTAGTTTCAGCTCCAGCTATCGAAGCTGAAGAGTCTCAAGTTGGTTTCGTACCTTTCAAAAAGTCCTCTGCACGCGGTCGTGGCCG